CCGGACACGGGAGGACTGTCGAGAAGCGAGCCAGGACAGGAACCCCAGAGGGGTCAGCCAGGGAAACCGCAACCGGCCGACTAAGCGGCGTAAGGATGGTGCGGTCCCGAAAGAAAGAGCGAGACGCTCCAGAGTCAAGAGTGAAGGTGTGGGAGGCCGAAGCCGACGCAGTACCTGAGAGCGCAGACGCACTAGTACCTGAGAGAGCAGTCTCACGAGCACCTGAGAGCACAGACGCACTGGCACCTAGAGCAGAAGCCTCACCGGCACCTGGAGCAGCAGTACCAATGCCCGGGTCGGGCGGGAAACACCGTTAACAGTCACCCTCCTCACTAATGGTCACAGCATACATGGCAGCAAGGATAGCATCAAAATCAAGATCAAAGATAGCTACACCAGCCCTAGACAGCTCTCCCAAGCGGGGGATCTCCGCGGCCTCCGGGAACTGCTGACGCCAAGCGTCCGTCAGGCGGCCAAAGCAGCGCTGGGCGGAGTGGGCACCCCCACACTGCTCTCCAGTGCGGTCGCGAGTGCGGAGAACGTAGGTGCAGGGACCAAAACCCCCACCGCGCTGACGTTGCGTGTACCACTCACTGAGCTGCTGAGGGGTGGGGACGTCGCGAGAACGCTGCTGCTGCTGCTGCTGCTGCTGCTGGCGCTGACCGCCACCAGTGCCGCTCCGCTGCGAAGCTCCACTCCGACCACCTCCACCTCCTCCACCCCCGCCTCCGCCTCCACCGCCCCCGCCTCCACCTCCACCGCCGCCACCTCCGCCACCTCCGCTACCACCGCCACCGCCGCCGCCACTCCCGCCTCCACTGCTGCCACTAGCACCCCCACCCCCGCTACCACCTCCACCGCCACCCCCACTCCCTCCGCCGCCTCCACCTCCACCGCCACCGCCCCCACTGGCCCCACCCGCTCCCTTGCCCCCCTTGCCCTTGCCAGAGCGGCGTCTCCCGCTAGGGGGAGACGCCGCACCGACCGACTCAAGACCAACGAGGTCGGCCGCAGCGGCAGAGGCGAAAGAGGGCAGGAGAGGGGAAGGAGAACACCCCTCAAAGATGGGGGCGCGGGGGTCACCTCGAGAGGCTCCTACAGCAACTATGCTCTTCTCCTCTGCAAGGAGGGCCTTCTCGAGGCTGTCGACTGTGAGGGTGGTGGGACAGACCGCGAGGAAGTGGTCCCGGACTACACGAAGGGAGTCAGGGAGGCGAGTGACTAAGAAGTAGAGAGTGATGTACATTGGGGGGGGGTTCTTGGCGCAGAAGTCAGCAGGAAGCGCAGCGCGGTAGCGAGTGTCACTAGTGCGGAGGTGCGTGATGAGATCAGCGACAGTGGGAAAGGCGGCAAGGTCAGGGAAAAGGAAGGGGAGCATGAGGCGGCTCAGTGCAGCAGTGGCAGGGGAGGAGTAGCGCGCAACTACAGCGTCGTACAAGGTCTGAGCACTCTTGTACTGGCTAAAGTGCGCGCGCTCAGCGGTAGGCAGGTGGCGACGCACAGCAAGACGTGCAGCAGCATCGCGCGTGGCCCACTGAGAGCGAACAGTGGCGTCAGCATCAGCAGCAGGGGCAGGGACGGCGCCAGAGGTGAGGTCAAAGAGAGACAGACCGTCGGCCCTGTCGCACTGTAAAAACAGCTGCAGGTCGTCGAGCCAGACCTCAAAGTCAATGGCTCGACCCTCAGCGTCAAAAGCGAGGACACTGGGTGTAGCCATGACGACGACAGTGGAGCAGTGCAAGCAGTAGGGGAAGGGTATGAGTGACAGCAGTGCAGTGCTCACCGGGCAGGGCAGGTCGGGCGGCTCGGGAGGAAGGTCGCCTGGCGACACGGCCGCTAGGCTGCTGGGCGGCTCGGCTCCCGGGCGGCTCGGCTGCTGCTGGGCGGCTCGGCTGCTGCTGGGCGGCTCGGCGGCTGCTGGGCGGCTCGGCGGCTCGGCTGCTGCTGGGCGGCTCGGCGGCTCTGGGCGGCTCGGCTGCTGCTGGGCGGCTCGGCTGCTGCTGGGCGGCTCGGCGGCTCCTGGGCGGCTCGGCTGCTCCGGGCGGCTCGGCTGCTGCAGTTGGGCGGCTCGGCTGCTGCAGTCGGGCGGCGCGAGAGCAAGGGGCGGCGGGGCCGTTAGTGCTGGGGCGGCGGGGCCGCGAGACCAGGGGCGGCGGGGCCGCGTAGTAGGGGCGGCTGGGGCCGGGAGCGCTTGGGGCGGCGGGGCCGCGAGATCAGGGGCGGCGGGGCCGTGAGCGCTGGGGCGGCGGGGCCGCGAGATCAGGGACGGCGGGGCCGTGAGATCAGGGGCGGCGGGGCCGGGAGCGCTGGGGCGGCGGGGCCGCGTATCAGGGGCGGTGGGGCCGGGAGCGCCGGGGCGACGGGGCCGCGTATCAGGGGCAGCGGGGCCGGAAGCGCTGGGGCGGAGGGGCCGCGAGATCAGGGGCGGAGGGGGGGGCCGTGAGCGCTGAGGCGGCGGGGCCGTGAGATCAGGGACGGCGGGGCCGCGCGTGCTTGGGCGGCGGGGCCGCGAGATCAGGGGCGGCGGTGCCGCGTGAGGAAGGGCGGCGAGGGCCGCGAGAGCAGGGCGGCGAGGCCGCTAAGGCGGCGCGAGGGCGGGCAGCGGGGCGCGGGCGTTAAGGCGGCGCTCGGGCTGCTAGGGCGGGCGGCTCGCTAAGGCGGCGCTCGGGCCGTTAGGGCAGATCGAAAAAAAAGTAAGAGCAAGGGCCCGGAGCGCGCTCCGGGCAGAAAAAAAAGGTTCGATGTGGTGAGCCCTAAGCACAGTTCCCACGGGGGAACCTGCTCGATACCATGAGAAAGTTAGAACGAGAATGAAATGACTATGAATGAAGTGAGTACAAATAGGAAACTCTAGTTGGGTTGTACCCCCTATGGGATGCCCCACTATAGCCTACACAAATAAGTAAGCTATAATATTCTGACAAACCCTGTTTAGATACTTTCGCAGCTCTTATCCCGTCGTCCGATGCAGCAGATTTCGCACCGCCTGCCGCTTCCCCTGTTATAGTCACATCTGCTGCTATCGCATCGAGCATGTCGCGAATCTCCCCTTCTAGCACGGGAAGGCTCTCTCGCAATTTCTTCGCTGAAAGTAGGTGGAGCGTCGCCAGCCGTCGCAACTTTCGCCAACGGTCGTTGGGTTGCGAAAACGCGATGTTTTTGCCGTCGAGAGTGAGAATAGCCAATGTGCGCGTCATGGGGCGGGACGAGCAGAGCTTATCGTTCGTTTTAAGCACGTCGCGCGCAAGCTCGGCGACGAGATGACCACTGACGGCGTGGAACCGAACCAGACGGTCAGGATCGGGCCGTACCTGTCGGCCAGGTTCGCGAGGGAGCGGAATGGCAGCGGTCCTAGGTCCGGGAGGTTTCCGAGGATGGGCCATGGGGAAGGGCCGGGAGGAAGGGAGCGACGGCGGCGGAGAAAGGAGAGCCAGGAAGTGGAAATAAGAACCGCGATGGCTGCGACAACGGCTGGGATGACGAAATGCGAGTCGGCTACTAATTTAATGGAGTCCATGAGGCTTGACGCTGCGGGTTGGAGGCTTCAAACAGTTGAACTGGGTTGGTAAACAATATTCTGGAGAACCTAACTGTGCTTGAGCAGCAGCCGCTGTGACTGGAGCTGTCATGCCTAGAATCCTAGGGAGAGTCAAGCCCGAGTCCTCGGGAGTGCTGCTGAGTTTGAGTCTCTTGTGTTGGTGAAAAATATATCAGATGTCTGTAACAACGGTCTTCGTTCTGTCACCTAGCCCCACTTTGTTTTGGCCTGTGAAGTAGGGAACTGATTGATGCGATGCGATGCGAACGGAACTGCCCGTGCGTGCGAAACCCGTCCCCTGGTCGCTACAAGTTGCGCAGCATCTTGAATCTTGGAATGGAATTCGACAAAAGACGGGGCGCGGCACGGAAAGCAAATGTTGCAAATGCTGCTTGTGCGGAAGCCCCCGCATGTCTCGTCGTGACCCGCCCCAACTCACTGTTTGTATCCGTTAGGGCCGCTCCCGATGTTGGCGAGATTTTCGAATGCATGTATATTTTTCTAGGCTGGTGATTAATGGTTTAGAGAGGTCAATAGAATGCAGCATTATCGTGCTCAACCGCTTGTACTGAACTTAGGGACAGCCCTTAGGGAGGATCACAGTTAGAACGTTCACATTCACGTATCACTGTTAGGAGCGGTGATCCGCGGTTCAAAGTGGCAAAACATCTGAACTGTCTGACACTTCCGCCCTATTCCTCGTCAAGCAAGCAGTAGGGTCATAGCGGCTTGTCAGACACCAAGCAAAAAACCAGCAGGAGATATGGTCATTAGTTCCGTTGCAACCGCCTCTGACGCATGGGTGAATAGTACCACCTCGTTTCAGTCGCCTCCGTTAGTCGCGGCGATAATCGCAGCAGTCGTGTTGTTCGTCTCGGCATCGTGGCTCTCTTTCCTCCGCCGTCGATCCTCCTTACCTCCAGGCCCTTCCCCATGGCCAATCCTAGGCAACCTTCCGGACCTGGGCTTCCTGCCGTACCGTTCCCTCGCGAAGCTCGCGGACAGGTTCGGTCCGGTCCTGACCGTGTGGGTCGGGTCCATTCCGTCTGTGATTATATCTTCGTCAGACCTGGCCCGCGAGGTTCTTAAAACGCATGATAAGTTCTGCTCCGCGCGCCCGCTTCTTAATCTTATCGAATTCGCGTCACACGGTGGAAAAGACATATTCTTTTCGCCATCGAACGACCATTGGCGAAGGTTGCGACGCCTGGCAAAGCTGCATCTCCTGTCTTCGCGGGTATTACAGGACACTCTGTGGGTTCGCGAAGCGGAGATCTGCGACATGCTTGACGCGATAGCTAGAATCGCTAATAACGGGGATCCGAGAGGCGTGCAGATGCGGGGTTATTTGAACCGCGGGACTTTGAACAACATTTTGCGGCTGACGGTCGGAAAGAGTTACAGCTACAGCACCGTTCATCGCGCTGCGGACGCCGCACCAGGAGAAATGCTCGAAGCGGCGATGAAAACCGACTGGGAGGGCCGCGTCGCCGCTATCAACGGAGCGAAATCCGGCGAGTTGGCGGCTATTGCGGAGGACGAAATGGAAGGCGAGAAGGTGATTGCCATGGTCGACGAGACGTTTCAGGTGATGGGAACATTCAATCTTGCCGATTTTATTCCGTGGCTCAGCCCTTTAGATCCGCAGCGCATCTACGCTCGCGCGAAGCGGCTCAATCCGCGTTTCGAAGGATATGTGCTGGCGTGCATTGCGGAGAGAAAGCGGATGCTCGAAACGCGGAGGAGAGCGGGGGAACGGGGAGTGGAAGAACGGGACAAGGGGGAAAGGGACGTGGAACCAGAAAGGGGGTACAAGAATGGTGGGGAAGGTGGAAAAGGAGAGGGAGGAGATGTGAAGCTGGGAGGAGAAGAGTCAGTGGTGGAACGAGTTTTGGTAGATGCACTGCTGGAAATCGAGAGCCAAGTGGAGGAAGAGGTAACGGGAAAGGATAGGATAACTAGAGAGGAGATAATGCTGCTCTGTTTGGATTTGATCAATGCTGGCACGGACACCACAGCCAAGACTGTTGAGTGGGCCCTTGCTGAGCTGGCAAGTCACCCTGCCATGCTGGAACATCTCCAAGCTGAGGTGGATGCTGCATATGCCAAGTCAGCAGCAGGATCAGCTACAAAGGCAGCAGCAGAGAACGAAGCAGCAGGAGAATGTAATGGGAAACAGCACATGGTCAAATCATCTCCTCCAGTACAGGAGATGCCATATCTTCAAGCAGTGATTAAGGAAACTCTGAGGCACCACCCCCCAGTACCGCTCCTCATCCCTCACATGACAACTTCCAGTGTTTCTTTTGGCGGATACACCATCCCTCCTGACACAATCATTCAGATTAACGCCTGGGGTATCGCTCACGATCCAACAGTCTGGATCAACCCCCATAATTTTGATCCCAACAGGTTTCTCGGCCCGTCGGCCCTTGATGTGACCGGGCAGGATTATGGTGTGTTGCCATTCGGTTCGGGCAGACGTGTGTGCGCAGGTATGAACTTGGGACTTGATCTTTCGGCACGCATGCTAGCGAGCATTGTTTTGCGATTTGATTTGAAGCTGCCCGAAGATGTGTTGGCCGCTGGCGGAGTTGACTTGGGGGAGGATTTTAGTCTCACTTTGGCACTGGCTAAGCCTCTACGGCTTGTGTTGCGGGAACGGAAGGGCACGCAGTTGAAGTAGGCCCATCTTCAGTGAAGACATTGGATAAGAGAGTTGGCAGGTGTCGTTCTACCGGATGCAGACAGTAATAAGTGCTGCCTGTCCTTGTGTGCATGTGTTTCTTACTAGATGGTGAGCATTTCTGTTAATCCAATTCACTTGAATTGTGCTGGATGCTCGTTGCTGTTTTTCATAGTACCGTACCGTATAATCCTTCATTTTTCTCGCTGCTGAATATGATGTTGAAGCACACGTGCAGCTGATGTGTATATGGGCTGTAGATACTACTGTACTTGAGGTCGGCCAAAACGGACACATAACTTCACGAATCACGACACACCCAAATCACGACACACCCAAGAGCTTCCGCAAGTTTTCGCTCACCTGTAACGATTGCGTTCGTTTTGTCGCCTAGCCAGGCTTGCTTGCGAACGAAACGGCCTTGCGTGCGAAACCGGTCGCCTCTTCATTGCGTGCGAAAACGGTCAGGTGATCGCTGCAGGCTGCCATCTGGTATCGCCCAATCTTGAACCTGCAGGCAGCCGCGCTAGCGAATCAAAACGCTTCAGGGAACCGCATAAAATGTGCGCGCATGAGTCCCGGCGAATCTGTCTTCCCATCCCACAGTCCTAGCTTGCTCACGCGAGCTCGCTTTATTGCGGTGAAGTGCGTTTCTGTATGTGTTAGAGCGGCTTGTTCTCAATTCTCTACGTTTGAGTAGGGTTTTGAGAAGAAACGGAGTTACAACACTACAGTTCCTCCGCAAGAAACGGAGTTACAACAAGCTTGTTTCCTCTCCGTAATCTCAGCATTCCCTTCCCGCCTCCGCACGTACTGGGAGGTTCTGCTGATAATCTCCAGCTTTCGCCCTTTCTGCGTTTCCAGAACGCTTGTTGCCAGAAATCCTCGGTCACCATGGCTGCTGGGAATTCGTTTCCTGGGACGGGCTGGTTCGCCAGCGGGATCAACACCGCCCAGCACCTTTTTCCCAACGCGACGGCATCAGGCGGAGACTTCCGCGCAGCGTCAGGCCTCGTCGCAGCCTTTATCGCAGCAGTCGCGGTTCTCGTTTCCACTTCCTGGCTCTCCTTCCTCCGCCGCCGTCGCTCCCTCCCCCCCGGCCCTTACCCATGGCCTATCCTCGGTAACCTCCCGGACCTAGGAACGCTTCCATTCCGCTCCCTAGCGAAGCTGGCCGACGAGTACGGTCCGATCCTGACCGTTTGGTTCGGTTCCTCGCCGTCAGTGGTGATTTCGTCGCCGGAGCTGGCTCTTGAGGTGCTTAAAACGAATGACAAGCTCTGCTCGTCCCGCCCAATGATTCGCACATTGGAGATTTTCTCTCTCGGCGGGAAAAATATAGTGTTTTCGCAGCCCAACGACCGTTGGCGAAAGTTGCGACGGCTGGCGACGCTTCACCTTCTGTCTGCGAAGAAACTGCAGGAGAGCCTTCTCGTGCGAGAGGAGGAGGTTCGTGACATGCTCGATGCGATCGCTGCTGACGCAATAACTAATCCTTCGGATGTGACTAAAACGGTTGCTGCTACTACTGGAGGAACCGCAAAATCTGCCGCCGTGGCGGAAGAGGGGATCATAGAAGTGCGAAGGTATTTAAGCCGCGCGACGCTCAACAATATTATGCGCATCACCGTCGGGAAGCGCTTCGGCTATTCGTCGATTCGCGGCGCGGCGAGCGCCACGCCGAAGGCGCTTCTCGACGCCGCGATGCGCATCGATTGGAACGCGCGCATCGCCGCAATGAGCGGCGAGAAATGCGGCGGCGAGATTCGACGTGACGCCGCTGCTGACGCGGCCGCAGCTCCAGCTACCGGTTCTGACGCTTCGGCAGCGGCTGAAATGGAATGTCGTACTGCTAAGACTAACTTATCATCTCCAACGGAGGCGACGGAAGGAGAGGTGGCGTTTGCAATAATCGAAGAGGGTTTTGCACTTGCGGGGGCATTCAATCTCGCGGATTACGTGCCGTGGCTGAGCTACTGGGACCCGCTGCGCATGTACGCGCGCGCGCTGCGCCTCGCGCCGCAGCTGTTCGGGCTCATGGGCGCGTGCATCGCGGAACGACGCCAACTCTTGCTGCAAAAAAAATGTTCCACAAACGAAGGCAACGTGACTCTGGAGGAAGAAACCACTCTTGTCGATACGTTGTTCGAGATTGAAGGGGAGGGGGAGGATCAGATGAATCAAGACGAGATGCTGATGCTGGCGATTGATATGATGATGGCTGGGACTGATACCACCGCCAAGACCGTGGAGTGGGCGCTTGCTGAGCTGGCACAGCACCCCGACATGCTGGAAATGCTCCGCGCTGAGGTGGATGAAGCTTGTGCCAGGTCAGCAAGGGCAGCCGCGGAAGCTGGGGTGGCTGCAGCAGGAGGTTCTGATCGTCCGGTCTCCCTTCCGGTTGCAGAAATGCCGTATCTGCAGGCTGTTATCAAAGAAACACTTAGACATTACCCTGTCGCTCCGTTCCTCGTTCCCCACCAGACAACTGGCAGCATAACTATAGGGGATTACCACATTCCTCCCAACACCATGATTCAAATCAACGGCTGGGCTCTCTCCCACGATCCAACGGTCTGGATCAACTCGCACAAATTTGATCCCTCCAGGTTCCTTGTTCCTGAAGCCCCTGACGTGACCGGGCAGAATTTCAGCCTGCTGCCCTTCGGTTCAGGCAGGCGTGGGTGCCTGGGGACGAACCTGGGATTGGACCTGTCTGCCCGCCTGCTGGCGAATTTCGTTCGACGGTTTGATTTCAAGCTGCCCGAAGATGTGAGGGCAGCTGGGGGGCTGGACATGGCAGAAATTTTTGGGCTGACCATGGCTCTGGCTAAACCGCTGAGGATTGTGGTGAGGGAGAGAAATGCAGGGGCGGTGGTTTCTGCTTCAGGAGCATGAGCTGCAAGGGGTGCTACATGAGGGGTTGAGATGGTTGTGGATTTATGGAGTTACTAGCTGTCTAAGGCAGTGGTGAGGGGGAGGAGGAGGATGAGGAGGAGTCGCTTATAATGGAGCCACTTAAAACTCTGCGGCTCCACCCCACAGTACTGCTCCTCATCCCTCATCTGAATCTGCCAGAGTTGCTACTAACGGACGCACCATCAATGCCTGGGGTCTCGCTCTTGATCCAACGGTTGGAACAACCCCCATGAGTGTGATCCTAGCAGTTTTTTTGGCCCATCTGCTCATGATACAGGGCAGAATTTTGACGTGCTGCCCTCCAGTTCGGGGAGGCGTGTGTGTGCAATTATGAATCTGGGACTGGACCTTTCAGCGTGTATGGTGGCAAGCATTATGTTTGCGATTTGATTTTAAGGTAGCCGAAGACGTGTTGGCTGCTGGTGGAGTTGACGCTGATTTGGGAGAGGACTCTGGTATTACTTGGGCGCTGCCTCTTCGACTTGTGCTACAGGAGTGGAAATGGACGCAGGTGAAGTAACTTTGTTCTCACTCAAGACATTGGAGAAGGTCTTGAGAGTATGAAAAGGAGTTGGCAGGCGTCCTTTTTGAGTGTGCAGAAAGCAATCAGTTTGCTCACTTATTCTTGGGTACCACCTATCCTTGTGTTTGCATGCATTTCTTGCTAGATACTATTGGGTGTGCGTTTGTGAGTATCTATTTCAAGTCAATTGTGTTTTTGTTTCTATTGGTTCCACTGAATAATCCATCTTGTTTCTAACACCTTTTACTTGCGATTTCTAAACGAATTTGCTGTGTGCGAATTGTCGAACGTTTCACGATTTCACCTGGTGCCTCCACGAACGTTTCTCGCTAAACTCATCGTCGAGAAACGATGGCCTTCGTTTTTCGCCTAGCCAGGCTTGCTTCACCTGTCCAACATGAAGCCTATTCATGCGAACGATCCTGCCATTGCGTGCGAAACTGGTTAACTGCTCATTGCGTGCAAACACGGTCACGACAGCTGCACGTTGCCATGTGGCATCGCCCAAATTTGAATCTCCAGGGTCCACGCATTTCCAGCTCTCCAAACGCGGCGCGTTTGCACGTTGAAAACGGTGGACCTATACCTCTACCGAACCGCATGAATGTGCGCCGCACTCCCCGAAGTCCAGACACATTTGTTATTCGCGCGGTTCGGCCTGCCCTCAATTTATAGGTTCGCACATTTATCGTGACTGCACGAACCCCTTTCCATCTCGCTATCCTCGATTGTGCGGGAAGGTACTGATTGCCTCGATCACTTAGGCCTGAGTTTCCAGCACGGTTGTAGCTGGGATTCTGTTCACCCGGAATGGCTGCTGGTGATACGCTTCCTGGGACAGGCTGGTTTGACAGCGGAATTAGCACCGTCCAGCGTCTTTCTCCAAATTTGACGGCATCTAGCGAAGTCTTTCGCTCTGCCTCACGCCTCCTCGACTCTTCAAGCTTAGTAGTACTAGCTGACTCGCATTTCGTCATCACAGCCGTCGTCGCTGCCGTCGCGGTTGTCGTTTCCACTTCCTGGCTCTCCTTCCTCCGCCGACGTCGCTCCCTGCCCCCCGGCCCTTCCCCATGGCCCATCTTCGGCAATCTCCCGGACCTGGGACTGCTGCCTTTCCGCTCCTTCACGAAGTTGGCGGACAGGTACGGCCCGATCCTAACCGTCTGGTACGGTTCAACGCCGTCAGTGGTCATCTCGTCGCCAGAGCTGGCTCGCGAGGTGCTTAGAACGAATGATAAACTCTGCTCGTCTCGGCCTATGAATCAAACATTGGCGATTCCCTCACTTAACGGCAAAAACATCGTGTTTTCGCCACCTAACGAACGTTGGCGAAAGTTGCGACGGCTGTCGACGCTCCACCTTCTGTCTGCGAAGAAACTGCAGGAGAGCCTTCTCGTGCGAGAGGAGGAGGTTCGCGACATGCTCGATGCGATCGCTGCTGACATGCTCGCCGCTGACGTGGCTAGTACTGCTGACGAAGCTGCTGCTGACGCAACAACTAGTACCTCGGACGTGACTAAAACGGGTGCTACTACTACGGGAGGAACCGCGAAGTCTGCGGCCGTGGCAGAAGAGGGGAGCATAGTAGAAGTGCGAAGGTATCTAAATCGTGCGACGCTCAACAACATTATGCGCGTGACTGTCGGTAAGCGTTTCGGTTATTCGTCGGTTCGCGGCGCGGCGAGCACCACGACAAAGGCGCTTCTCGACGCGGGGATGTGCATCGACTGGAACGCGTGCATCGCCGCAATGGGCGGCGAGAAACACGGCGGTGAGATTCGACCCGGCGCTGTCGCCGACGCGGCTGCATCTCCAGCCATGGGGTCTGAGGCTTCGGCAGCAGCAGAACAAGATAGCTCCAAGCTACTATCCTCACATGCAGAGAAGGCGGATAGTGGTACTAATGGTGCTAAGACGAACTCATCGCGTTCAATGCAAGAAGCGGACGGAAATATAGCGCTCGCGATAATAGAGGAGGGCTTTGCTCTTGCGGGGACATTCAATATCGCGGATTTTGTGCCGTGGCTGAGCTACCTCGACCCGCAGCACATATACGCGCGCACGAAGCGCCTCGTGCCGCAACAGCACGGGTTGATGCGCGCTTGCATCGCGGAGCGACGCCATCTCCTGCTAAAAACGCGGTCAGGGGGACGCGAAAAGCCGGAGGACTCGGCCCTTGTAGATGCTCTGTTCGAGATTGAAGGGGAGGGGGAGGATAAAGTGGATAAAGACGAGATGCTGCTGCTCGCGATTGATATGATGATGGCGGGCACTGATACCACCGCCAAGACCGTGGAATGGGCGCTTGCTGAGCTGGCACAGCACCCTGACATGCTGGAAAGGCTCCGTGCTGAGGTGGATGCGGCGTATTCCAGGTCAGCAAGTGCAGCCGCCGAAAGTGGGGTGGCTTCAGGAGAAGGATCTGATCTCATGGCTTCTCTTCCAGTAGCGGAAATGGCATACCTGCAGGCCATCTTAAAAGAAACACTTAGGCATCATCCAGTTGCTCCGCTCCTCGGTCCCCACATAACAACTGGCAGCGTAACTCTAGGTGGGTACCACATCCCTCCCAACACCATGATCCAGATCAATGGCTGGGATCTCGCGCACGATCCAACGGTCTGGATCAACCCGCACAAATTTGACCCCTCCCGGTTCCTTGACCCTGCTGCCCCTGGCATGACCGGGCAAAATTTCAGCCTGCTGCCCTTTGGTTCGGGCAGGCGCGGGTGCCTTGGGACGAATATGGGATTGGACCTCTCTGCCCGCCTGCTGGCGAATTTTGTTCTGCGGTTTGATTTTGAGCTGCCCGGAGATGTTAAGGCAGCTGGAGGAGTGGACATGACGGAAACTTTTGGGCTGACCATGGCTCTGGCAAAGCCACTCAGGCTTGTGGTGAGGGAGAGAAAGGCAGTGGTGGGGGCTGTTGGGAGGGCGGCAGTGGGGTCTACAGTGGTGACTGCAGGAGCGTGAGCTACCTAAATCTCAAACGTGCTTTGCTTCGCACATACGATTTAGGACAGGGAGGCAGGCAGAGGAATGGATAGAAAGGCCTCTCGGGAGTGTGGTGGGTGCAGGGGGGTTCCAGTGGGTGCAGGGGGGTTCCAGCCGGTGCAGGGAAGTTCCAGTGGGTGCAGGGGGAGTTTCAGTGGGTGCAGTGGGAGTTCCAGTGTGTGCAGTGGGAGTTCCAGTGTGTGCTGTGGGAGTTCCAGTGGGTGCAGGGGAGTTTCAGTGGGTGCAGTGGGAGTTCCAGTGGGTGCAGAGGACTTCCAGCGGGTGCAGTGGGAGTTCCAGTGGGAGTAGTGGGCGTGGGAGTTCCGGTGGGTGCAGCGGCTTGAGCTGGATTATTCAAAAGAGCTTCGCGCATACCTTCAAGAAAGGCAGGGAGATGAAGGGAGGGAAAGGCGGTAATGGCACATACATTCCAGGTTTCATTCAAGCCTTCTCTGCAACCTGTCAAGGGCTTGCTTCATGCATCTTGGGTTCTATTTTTATGTGTGTGTGTGTGCTCTTTCTTCCACTGCAGCAGGTTCTACAATATATACTTATGTGTGTACGTGTTTTCTTGTTTGATTTGTTTCTAAGACTGACAGTGATACTGTGATAAAGATACATCAACCCACAATCCTCTGTTGTGAGCACATGAGTCCAGAAGCTCAGTTGGAGAGCATAAAAAACTCACCAATTTATATTGCTTGTCACTATTACTTATTCCCCCATCGGTGTGCAATTTCTAAACGAATGTGCTGAAAGCAGTACACAGGCGGTCGGCGAAAACGGACACATTTCTTCCACGAAAGTGTCGCTTAACTCAGCTTCTCGTAACGACGGTTTTCGTCTTTCTCGTCTAGTCAAGCAAGCTTGCCCTGTCCAGCAGGGAACAATTCATGCGAACGAAACTACCCTTGCGTGCGAAACTGGTCACCTCGTCATCGTTGCAATTTGCGGTTCGGCATTGCCCAGCCTTCAATCCTGCAATCTTGAATTCAGGACGCGGCGCGCAGTCCCAGGGCAAATGGAAATGGCTTCACTAAGATTGCCACATATAAAATGCGCCGCACGTTTGCTATCCCCGCACCACACCACGACTTGCTTTTCTCTCAACTCTTCAGAGTGTCTCCAGATATAGCTTAGCTTTCTTTCTTGCAGCTGCCAAGTACTGATTCAGCCTCAGATTTCTCACACTTTTCTGAGTTCTCATACCAGGCGAGCAAGTTCTGCCGCAATGGCTGCCGCTGATGCATTTCCTGGCACAGGATGGTCTTCTAGCAAATTCAACTCGACCCAGCAGCTTTTCCCTGGCCCAACCTCTTCAAGCCGAGTCGATTTTTCAAGTCTGGTATCAGCCGACTCGCATTTTATCATCACAGCCGTGATCGCAGCCATCGCGGTTCTCATTTCGACTTCATGGCTTTCATTCCTCCGCCGCCGTCGCTCCCTCCCCCCCGGCCCTTCCCCATGGCCCATCCTCGGCAACCTCCCGGACCTGGGACCGCTACCTTTCCGCTCCCTCGCGAAGCTGGCCGACAGTCACGGCCCGATCCTGACCGTCTGGTTCGGTTCCACGCCTTCAGTAGTAATTTCGTCGCCGGAACTCGCTTGAGAGGTGCTTAAAACGAAGGATAGGCTTTGCTCGTCACGTCCGCTTCCTCCCACCGTGGCGATGCTCACTCTCGACGGCAAAAACATCGCGTTTTCACCAGCCAACGAACATTTGCGAAAGATGCGACGGCTGGCGACGCTCCACCTTCTCTCTGCGAAGAAACTGCAGGAGAGCCTTCCCGTGCGAGAGGGGGAGATTCGCGACATGCTCGACGCGATCTCTGCTGACGTAGCTGCTGCAGATCTGACTAAAACGGATGCTACTAGTTCTGTTAGTAGCTGTGCTGCTGCCGGTGCCACGAAATCTGCCACCGCTGCAGAGGAGGGGATCGAGGTGCGAAGGTATCTGAACCGCGCTACGCTGAACAACATTCTCCGCCTTGCTGTCGGGAAGCGCTTCGGCTATTCGTCGATTCGCGGCGCGGCCGGCACCACGCCAAAGGCGATTCTCGACGCCGCGATGCGCATCGACTGGAACGAACGCATCGCCGCAATGAGCGGTGAGAAACGTGGGGGCGGGGTCCGCGGCACCGCCGACGCGGCTGCCGCAGCTCCGGCTGTTGGGTCTGAGGCTCCGGCGGCAGCGGCAGAAGAAGAACTATCCCCCCCGACAGAGGACAAAGTGGAAGGAGAAGTGGCATTTTCGATTATTGAGGAGGGTTTTGCAGTCGCAGGAGCATTCAATATCGCGGATTACGTCCCTTTGCTGAGCTACTTGGACCCACAGCGCATGTACGCGCGCGCGAAGCGCCTCGCGCCGCAGCTGCACGGCTTCATGCGCGCGTGCATTGAGGAGCGACGGCGGATCGTGCTGCAGAAGGAATGTTCCTCAAACGAAGGGAACGAGACTGCACTCGTTGACGTGTTGTTCGAAGGGGAGGGAGAGGATGAGATGGATAAAGACGAGATTCTGATGCTCGCAGTTGACATGATGATGGCCGGGACCGATACCACTTCTAAGACCGTGGAATGGGCGCTTGCTGAGCTGGCACAGCACCCGGACATGCTGGAAAGGCTCCGCGCTGAGGTGGATGAGGCTTATGCCATGTCAGCAAGTGCAGCGGCAGAAACTGGGGTGGCTCCAGCAGGAGGATCTGATCTCATGGTCTCTCTTCCGGTAACGGAAATGCCGTACCTGCAGGCTGTTTTAAAAGAAACACTTAGGCATCACCCTGTCGCTCCATTCCTCATTCCTCACCTGACAACTGACAGTGTAACTTTAGGGGGTTACCAGATCCCTCCCAACACCATGATCCAGATCAATGCTTGGGCTCTTGCACACGATCCAACGGTCTGGATCAACCCACATGAATTTGACCCCTCTAGGTTCCTTGACCCTGCTGCCCCTGACGTGACCGGGCAGAACTTCAGCCTGCTGCCCTTTGGCTCGGGCAGGCGTGGGTGCCTTGGCACGAACCTGGGGTTGGATCTGTCTGCCCGCCTTCTGGCAAATTTCGTTTTGCGGTTTGATTTCAAGCTGCCCGAAGATGCTAGGGCAGCTGGAGGAGTGGACATGACAGAAACTTTTGGGCTGACCATGGCTCTGGCAAAGCCACTTCGGATTGTGGTGAGGGAGAGAAAGGCAGTGGCAGGGGCGGTGGTTGCTGCTTCAGGAGCGTGAGCTGCAAGGGGTGCTGCAAGGGGTGCTGTATGGGGTGCTGCAAGGGGTGCTGCAAGGGGTGCTGCATGGGGTGCTGCATGGGGTGCTGCATGGGGTGCTCCATGGGGTGCTGCATGGGGTGGTGCATGGGGTGCTGTATGGGGTGCTGCAAGGGGTGCTGTATGGCCCATGGGGTGCTGCATGGGGTGCTGCATGGGGTGCTGCATGGGGTTTATCTGGGTTGAGCTAGTTGCACTGCACAGTTACAGGGTTACCATGGCTCTGGCTAAGCCACTCAGGATTGTGGTGAGGGAGAGAAAGCCAGGGGTGGCGGAGGTGGTGGCTGCAGCAGGGGCTTGAGCTGCAAGGGCTGCGCTGGTTACCAAGTTACCATGAAGGTGTTTCTACACGCACACACACACGCATGGTGTTTTATCTTTGTCCGTGATTGTTGCTGCCAAGAAGGAGTGTGGCGGGATGGGAGACGAAGGCTGGAGATGCGGGAAGGTGGGAGGGAGGGGGGAGGGAGTGGGGAGGGGGGGTGGGATACAGTAGAAGGAGGCTGATTGCACGGTAGCCTAATCCTTAGCGTCCCAGATATGTAGTATGCAGCTGTTTCGTTTTCCCCCTGCATTTTGCTTGTGTGTGCGTGATCTAGCCAATGTAGTAACAAGCGATGGAATCCCTTGCGATGGAATCTATATTGAAACATCTACAGCGAGCGATGCTGAGGATCCAGTTCAGACTCTGTATACAATAACCCGTCACAGTTGAGTGAATATTCCATGTTGCTGAGCTGAGATGCACCATTCCTGTGCTGAAAAATTAAATGTAGGAAATGCTGAGAAATAACCAGCTCATCCCAAGTCACTCGTATGCAAGAGGGCTATACGCCATATCGAAGCACACCACAAAAATCCCCGCAAGCCATCATACCCGTAACAGAAACAGGCCAGTGCAACAACTACCGTACCTGGTACCGGTAAGACTCAACTCCAGTCTCTCACGGTCCATGCTCCCTGGGTGATTTCTGATTCCACCTTGTGAAAAACGAAGCTGTGGAGAACCTATAGCCCCCTCGCTGATCCCCATCCTCCATTTCTCCCCCCTGTTGCCCCCATTGCTGCTCCTGCTGCTGCCCCTGCTGTTGCCCCCAGTGCTGCCCCTCCTGCTTCCCCCCCTGCTGTGACCTCCCTACCCCAGTCTCCCCCATCCCCCCACCCGTCCCCCCTGCCCCCGCACCCCTCCCAACCTCTCTCAATCCCTTTGTAGGACTCGTCACCTGCGCGTTTTCCCCAAGTGAAGCCAATTTCGGACTCTGGGTTCCAGTCTTGGGAGTCCGACTTGAGACCTTCGGGCTTTGTCCGACCACCTTGGGACTCTGCACCAGGCCTTTCCCTGACACCGTTTTTCCCAACAGCCTCTGTGCGTTTCTAGGGGAGCCCCAGGGGCGTTGGGCGGGAGGTTTTGCACCGGGTGTGATTACGCTGGGTGGGCTTATACCGGGTGATACTGACGTTGGGGAGACGAGGGCGTGAGGATAGGAGGAGGAGGACGAGGAGGAGGATGCTTCTGTCGCAAATCCTGTTGTTGCTGCTGCTCCCCCTGCTGCTGCTCCTCCCCCAGCTCGATTGAGAGCCTCTGTTACTGCTGCTGCTGCTGCAGCCGCAGCGGATGCTTTATCCCTGTCCCTGTCTCGCTCCCAATCTCTATCCCTGTATTCTCTTTCCGTGCGGCTGCTGCTGCTCCGCCCTATGCTTGCGCTGGCAAGTGTTACACTGCTGTTTGTTCCACTGCTGGTTGCTGTGAGAGTAGTGCTGCTGCCACCAACACTTAGCGCTCGACCGAACCCAGACTGCGTTGTTGATACCCCGTCACTTTTATTGGAAGCAGCAGCAGCAGCAGCAGCAGTACCACCAGCAGCACCAGCAGCAGCAGCAGCAGCAGCAGCAGCAGCAGCACCACCACCACCACCTGAGGTTCCTGCAGCTTTAGCAGCGTTGCGGGTGCGTGGCTGCACCTGGCGCAGCAGATAAGACAAAACGCCACCTGAAACAACAGCTGAAGAATCACCTGAATCTGCTGCTGCTGCGTCTCTAGGGGAAATCCCGGTTAACGGACTCGCATGGTGGTGGTAACCATCACCACTACCCCCACCAGGGTTCCCACCACCGCCGCCTCCACCAGAACCACCTCCCCCACTACCAGACAAAACACCCAACAACCCGCCACCGCCACCACCCCCACCACCACCATCCTCCCCGCCCACCCCATTCACTGCCGCCGATTTGATCCCATACCCCGATTTAACCTTCTCCTGTGCAGCAGCAGGGGCGGGGGACGCGGACGCCTTAGCTCGGGGCCGGGAGCGAGTGGAGGGGAAGAGTAGGGCGAGGCGAGGGACGAAGAGGAAGGTGAAGGGGGTGAGCACGAGGGAGAGCGCGGTGGTGCCCATGAGGAGGAGGTAGAGCTTGTGGCCGACCAGCTTGAGTGTTTGAGCGCGGGAGAGCAGCACAAAGGAGAACTCTCCGATCTGAGCGAGGGCCACTCCGACTGATGCTGCCGTGCCGGTGCTGTAGCCGAACGCCCGAACCTGGTTGGTTTGGGAGGGGACAAAGACAGATTTGGTCCGTGGAGAAGATCTCTTGAAAAGATTAAGATATTCTGAAGAACACCTCCTCACACCCCTCACCATCCCTCATCACCGCTCGCCACCCCTCAGCAGCACTCCCCAATCACCACCACTCACCACGAAGCCCACAAGGCAGGCCTTGGAGACAAACACGACCGCCACAGCAATGAGGAGGATGTCGATGTGCTGCCAGAGGAAGAGCGGGTGCATGACCATGCCTATGCTCGCCAGGAACAGCGCTGCAAAGAGGTTGCGGATGGGCTCCACTTGGTGTAGCGTTCGCTCGCTGTAGCTGTTGCCTGGAGGTGGGGAGTTGGGGTGGAGGGATGAGAGGGACATGGCTTGCACTGCATCTGCTCGCCAGGAAGAGCGCTGCAAAGAGGTTACGGATGGGCTCCACTTGGTGTAAAGTGCGCTCGCTGTAGCTGTTGCCTGCAGGGCAGGGGGAGAGGACGGGAGGAGAGGAAGAGGAAGAGATTAGGGAATAGAATTTTACGAAGAAAAAAGTTAAAGAGCCTCTCTATGAGTAGAGTGGTATGGTGTGGAGGAGAGGAGAGAGGTCTCACCTGAGAGCATGAGGCCAGCCCAAAAAGCTCCCACTTCAAGTGACAGTCCGAGCCCCTCGGAAAGCAGTGCGACGCACAGGCACACCATCACCACGCCTAAGTGGTAAATTTCGCTGTTGAACGACCCGCGCGCCAGGCGCAGCAGCAGCGGGAGGGGGAGGAGGCAGCAGCAGCAGTAGCAGTAACAGCAGAAGTAGGGGGGAGAGAGGTCTCACCTGAGAGCATGAGGCCAGCGACAAACGCCCCGACCTCCAGCGACAGACCAAGCCCTTCAGAGAGCAGAGCGACGCACAGGCACACCGCCACCGACGCCTAAGTGATAGATTTCGCTGTTGAACGACCCGCGCGCCAGGCGCAGCAGCAGCGGGAGGAAGCGGGGCACAAAGAAGCGCGCGAGCAGCCAGGCAATGAGGGCGAAGGCGAGGAGGATCAGGAGCTCTCGCAGCAGGGCGAGCAGGATGGCGGAGGCTGAGGCGGGGCGGGCGGCGAGCGCCGGCATTATTGCGAGGAGGAGGCCGAGGGCACAGTCTTGACTGATGAGGGTTCCGAGCATGATCTGAGAGGGGAGAGGGGAGTGGGGGGGGAAATGGGGTGTTGGAAAGGAGTAGGGGGAGTGGGGGGGGAAATGGCGTGTTGGAAAGGAGTAGGGGGAGTGGGGGGGGAAATGGGGTGTTGGAAAGGAGTAGGGGGAGTGGGGGGGGAAATGGCGTGTTGGAAAGGAGTAGGGGGAGTGGGGGGGGAATTGCCCAAAGAAGCGCGCTAGCAGCCAGGCTATTGAGTCGACTCAAACGCCACCGAGCGAGGATCCACTGAGCGGGCAGGCAGGCGATGAGAGCGAAGGCGAGGAGGATTAGGAGCTCTCGCAGCAGGGCGAGCAGGATGGCGGAGGCGGAGGCGGGGCGGGCGGCGAGCGCCGGCATTATTGCAAGGAGCAGGCCGAGGGCACAGTCCTGTGAAATAAGAGTCCCGAGCATGATCTGATGCAGTGGAGGGGAAGGGGAGTGTTGGAGGAACAAAAGGAGTATGGAAACCGGTGGGGTGGAAACGGGAGAGACAGGGGACAGGGGGGAAGGGAGGAAGACGAGACGAGGGACATAAATGCAGGTGAGGAGCCAGGATAAGAGGCAAAGGCAGGAAGAATCAGGAAGAAGTTTGGAGGGCTGGCAAGGTGGCAGGCTGGGCAGCATGGGCCGGCAGTATTGCCAGTAAAAGACCTTCCCCACAGAACCACAGTCTGATCTGTCTGCCCATGCTGCCATGCCTGCCCATGCTCGGAGCCCATGCTGTTGATGTCCATCAGACACTTGAGCACCACGGCAGTTGATGACAAGGAGAGAAAACCCCCTATGAACAGCCCCTAGGGAACAAGTTGTGTAGGCTCCTCATACCCACTCTCTGAATCACCGTACCTGCCCATGCTCAGTGCCCATGCTGTTGATATCCATCAGACATTTCAGCACCACGGCAGTAGACGACATGGAGAGGAATCCCCCTATGAACAGCCCCTGGGGCGTGTTGGAGCTCACGATGCCGCCCAGCACCCTTCACAGCTGAGTGGAGAAAGATGCACGCGTCCTGCTGCGTGCTGCGTCTGGACGCAGCGTCCAGACGCAGAAACGCAGGACGCACCCCATATTTTTTTTCCGGGCTGACCGGAAAAAAATAGTTGCCCCAGCGCAAAATTGAGTAACGATGTCGACACGACTGTCAATTTCGCGTCATGTCGACCCCCCCTAACCCATTTCGACCATCAAAAACACCGTAGAGGGTTTACCAAGACAATTCTCCTTCGTAAACCCTAAACCCTGAAGATTTGAAGAGGACGATTTTGCCTCAAATGTGTGCATCGTCCTTCCCCCTCCCCCCCCCCCCCCCCCCCCCCCCCCCCCTTCCCATACCCTACAACATCATTTTTCGGCTGCCTCTGGGTTTTTTTTGCCCTGCCCGGGCATGCGTCTTTTCATGCGTCCTAAAGGCCCTCCTCTAGCGTCCTGCGTCTAAGACGCTGCGTCTGGATGCATGCGTCCAGGACGCAGGACGCATCTTTCTCCACCCAGCTTCACAGCTCCCCACCCAACACTCCCAGACCTGCCATGCTTCCATACCTGCCCGTGTTCTGTCCCCATGCTGTTGATATCCATCAGGCATTTCAGCACCACGGCAGTAGACGACATGGAGAGAAAGCCTCCTATGAACAGCCCCTGGGGCGTGTTGGAGCTGGCGATGCCACCCAGCACCATGGACAGGCCGATCTGAATTATGCCGCCCGCTAGCGCCACCGCGTGCACGCCCTGCATGCGGGCCAGGCTGAACTCGACCCCGATGGCAAAGAGCAGGAAGACCACTCCGAATTGGGCTAACGTTTCCACCTGCGGGTGAGAGACAAGGAGGGAGGGAGGTAAGGAGTAAGTGAGAGAGTGGCCACGTGCACGCCTTGCATGCGGGCCAGGCTGAACTCGACCCCGATGGGTAAGGGGAGGAAGACAACACCGAACTGGGATAGGTTTTCAACCAAGAGAGAGGGAGGGAGTGAGTGGGAGGGACGGAAGGAGTGGGAGAAAGAGGGAGTGAGTGAGAGGGAGTGAGTGTGTGAGCCATGGCGTGCACCACGCCGAATTGGCTAGGGTTTCAACCTGAGATTGCAAGAAAGAAAAAGAGGGAGTGGGAGGGAGCCAGTGAGCGAGTGAGTGAGTGAGTGAGGGAGGGAGTGAGTGCTTGAGTGAGGATGAGAGGGAGAGGAGAGTGCGCACGGGCTCCCCTCCACCACTCTCCGCCCGCTAGTGCCACCGCGTGCACGCCTTGCATGTGGGCAAGGCTGAACTCGACCCCGATGGCGAAGGGGAAAAAGTCAACACCGAATCAGGCTAGAGTCTCCACCTGCGGGTGCAAGAGAGGGAGAGAGAGGGAGGTAAGGAGTAAGTGAGAGAGCCACGGCAACGGCGTGCACGCCTTGCATGCGGGCCAGGCTGAACTCGACCCCAATGGCAAAGAGGAGGAAGACCACCCCGAACTGAGCTAGGGTTTCCACCTGAGTGAGTGAGAGAAAGGGGGAGTGAATACGAGAGAGGAAGGGAGGGAGGGAGTGAGTGAGTGAGTAAGGGAGGAGAGAGTGAGGGGAGGGAGTCAAGGCATTACCCCAGACCAGACCCCTTGGCTGCTCCGTCACTCCCCCAGCCCCCTTCAGATTTACATTCCCCGTCTGATACCTGGTTGCCCCATGAGTCCACGTGACTTTTGAGTCGACTCAAAAATTCCCCGTCTGATACCTGGTTGCCCCATGAGTCCACAACACAAGCTCCCTCCCAGTGCCTCGATGGGCCTCACCTCACTCACACCTTACTGACGCCTTACTCACACCTTACTCTCGCCTTACTCACACCTTACTCACACCTTTACTCACGCCTTACTCACACCTTACTCTCGCCTTACTCACACCTTACTCACACCTTACTCACGCCTTACTCACACCTTACTCACGCCTTACTCACACCTTACTCACACCTTACTCACACCTTACTCACGCCTTACTCACACCTTACTCACACCTTACTCACACCTTACTCACGCCTTACTCACACCTTACTCACGCCTTACTCACACCTAACTCACACCTCACTCACACCTTACTCACACCTTACTCACACCTAACTCACACCTCACTCACACCTCACTCATACCTCACTCACACCTAACTCACACCTCACTCACACCTAACTCACACCTCACTCACACCTCACTCACACCTCACTCACACCCCACTCACACTGCACCTTACTCATGCGTCCCTCACAATCGCCTCACCTGTACGAGCTCGTGGATAAGACCGAACCCTCCAGGCCCAATGATCATCCCTGCCACCATGTATCCCAGAATGATGGGCTGCCCCACCAGCCCACACGCGAGTTCTAATTACCAGTGACGACACAGCAATGCAACCTCGTCTCACCTGTACGAGCTCGTGGATAAGACCGAACCCTCCAGGCCCGATAATCATCCCTGCAACGATGTATCCCAGAATGATCGGCTGTCCCACAAGCCCACACGCAAGCCCCCCCAGAGCCGCCGCCACAATCACCTTCACCACATCCGATATAAGCATAAAGTCCTCCTGTAGCTGCATCTTCGACCCCTTACCGGGACTGCTTATAACGTACTCATTGTCCTGCGAGTCTATAAGCCTGGGAACATCGTTCTCCCCTTCATCAACCCTCTCCGATCTCTCCTTCTCCCTCGCCCCCCGCCCTGCCCTCTCTGCAAACCGCTTCTTAGCTGCGGCTAGCCTGGTGAGGTTCTTCGTTCGGAGGCTGGGGGAGGGCGAGACTGGGGGAGGTTGTTTCCCGCTGCTATCCCGCCCAAACACCAGGTCAAAAAGTGACACTTCGCTCGCTTTCACGCCCTGACTCACCACCGCCGCCACCGCTGCCACCCCTTTCTTTTTCGCCTTCTTTTCCGCTTCAGCAGCAGCCATGGCTAGAGCTACCTGCTCTAGCTGCTTCATCTTCTCCTGGGCTTCCTCCCTTTCTGCTTCCTCTAACACCTGTCGGTCCTCCTGCTCCTCCCGCTGCTCCCTCTCCTTCACCTCTTCTAGGACGTGGTGTTTACCCACCCGGGCGACTGTTTCCAGAACTGCCTCTTGTTTTTCGAGGGTTTTGTTGAACTTACCCCCCTCGTCTTCCATATCATCCAGCCTGTCGAGGATTCGACCCACCAGCTGACCCACGTCGCCACCCTTCTCACCACTCGTCTCGTTCGTTTTAGTCACACTTGGCATATGAGTCCCATGCTCGCCCTCTTTTGTGGCACTACTGCTGGCTGTGGTACCTGCGGTTGCCTGTGAAGCTCCATTAGAAGCAGCTGACGCGCTATGACTGGTTTCGGTACTATCCCTGGTAACACCATCACCAGCAGCAGTCCCAGCAACACCAGTTGTGTTCGCTCCACCACCACCACCAGCACCGCTCTCACTAGACGACAACCCTGGCCGCGTTTCCCCCAAGTGACTCCAATCATCGCTCCGAAACTCCCGCCTCGCCACCTGCCGCTTCCTCTCCGCCCCCCTCTCGCCCTTCTTCCTCTCCTCCTCCTCCTCCTCTTTAATCTCCTCGTCGAGATCCTTGCTTTTAAACAACCCCTTTAAAGGCATAAGCAGAGGAATATCGTCTCCGTCTAACTGGGTCTGCACTGCCTCTTTCTTGCCCTTCCCGTTGCTCCCTAGCTGCTCCCCCCTTCCATCCCCCGAGCCTGTTCCGTCAGTTTTATCAACCCCCCCCTCGCCTTCCCCTGTTGCACCTGCTACAGCAGCACCACCGTTGTTGTTGCCACCGCTGCTACCGCCACCACTGCCGCTGCTCTCACTAGCCCTGCTATCCGCCACCCCTCCACCTCCCCCTCCCGTCTCTTTCCGCGAGAGACCATTCGCGAACCCTCGCAGCCCCCCGTCCTCGTGATCAAGACGGTCTAAAGGCACAAACTCCCGCGCGATTTTCTCCCGTCGCTCCTCTCTGCGTTCCAAAACCATCCCCATCCCGATCCCCCCATGCTCCTTGTCCGAATTCTGCTGCTTCTCCGCCTCGTCCCCGCCCATGAACCGCTGCCATAGCCTCCGCCTGAGGCTAGTGTCCTGGCTTCCGCCTGCTCCCCCCATTCCGCCATTTCCCCCCCCTCCTCCCCTTCCGCCGCTTTCCCCGACCCCGCCTCCGCTTGTCCCTGCGATTTCGTCCGCAAAAGTAGAGTGGCCGTTTCTGCTATCTCCATGTATAATCGATGGTAGCAAACTCTCGTTAGTGCGTCTCCACGTGAAGGTCGTTAAACGGCGAGATTGACGATTAGGGTTGCCGGTAACACTAGCTGAAGGGGACTTCAGAGCAGAATCGTCATCTAGTATCGAAGCAGCTCTACCACGGGTGAGTAAACACGCGAGGGCAAGTAGAAGGTACAATGGTCTCGACAATGTGTAGGTTCTATGATTCCGGTGAGAGAACAGAGGAATCCTCGTCAGATTTGTACAGCTTCGAGACATGTCATCTGCGAGCGCTAATAGCGAGGATCCAGTGCACTCAAGGTCGGAATGGAAAACGATCCGTCGCATGCGCAAGCAGACAATAGTACTTCCCCGCTAAGGCTTCACAGCACCTCCCATTGCGAGGAGAATGCGAGGGGTGACATACGGACAATAGGAACCGGTAGGAACCGGGAACAACCGGAAGCAACCAGGAGCTTGACAATGACGTACCAAAGACAGTAACAGCCTGGGACTTATGGCGGACTTAGTGCGTGGCCTAGTCAGACACGCAATTCAGGAAGCTAAAAAGCCAAGACATCTAGTAGCCTGTCCGCGTATAGCCATTCGGTAGTCGCTGTCAGCTGGAGGTAGGTTTACAAATGCGATTAACTACATGGAAGAATGGCGGAAATCCAGGCGAGCTGCTGATAGGACGGCAATTGATAAGGTGTTTGCTGGATGCTCGGCTACAATGACTTTGTCAGACAAATCGCCGCTTTGCAGACGAGCTTTCCGTTTTGCTGTCATGTGTTCACTGAGGAGGACCTTGGGTCCAGATTCCTTGATTCGTCGCAACAAAAGCAGCTTCATTTTCACCTCGATAGTGAGCCTACACATTCTATGGCATTTGACATTCTAAAACTAACAATCACACGGTATACCTTTCTGAAATTATGATGAATCAAATTGGATGAAAATCACTGCTATTACAGCTCAGAATATGAATCAATGCCAATCATGCTAGTTTATTGGCACATTGAGAAACGTCCAGCAAACAAAACGAGACTCTCGTTTTAGATTATATGCCGTGTCAGTTGTGCAACCATTCCTACCAACAACGCATCATTCAACAGAAGGTGTCGAGTAAGCACCTGAACAACTTCACTGCCCTCCTACCCAGAGATGGCGCAGGTGCCTTTTCTGATGTTTGCGCCGCTGTCACAGGTGTTATCCGCCCTCGTCGAACCGTCTATTCATCGTAGTCACTGCTTCCATTTATTTTCCACCGTGCGATTGAGAGGGAAAGCCCTCTCAGGTTGCGCCAGCAAGGTTCACCAGTTAATCAGGAGGAGCAAGGCATTTCCCCCAACATCGCCGTCATTCCCGTCGAGCAAAAAGGATGAAGCCAAGCCATGTTGCTGCTGCTCGCTGAGCCAGAGGAGTCATGAATCGCGACTCAGAAGTCACCACCACCCCTCAACCAGAAGGAGCTGCTATAGTCACGAAAGCATACAATCGCTTGGCCCAGCCAGCCACCCTCCCTCCCTGGTCGCACCTTTCCCCATCCAGCTCGCTCGCACCTTTCCCCATCCAGCTGGTCAACCACACATCGTTAAAATATTTTCCAGCTGCAGGCCTCTTAGGAAACCGTGCAGGGTGGCATCATAGTCTAGACAGAAATCATTTATCATTCACGTTCTGAAAGTGTTCCCTTGCCTAATCCAGAAGGCAGCCCACCGTGTCCTGCCGACTGATAAGCCAGGTCTCAGCGCCAGGGCTCAGTCGCCCTCCAGCTCCAACTCTGGTGTCCATCTGCCAACGCTCTGTCGTGCATAGCTGCATAGCATCTCCACTAGGTTATTCCCACTAGGTCTCATCTTTCGGAGTAGGATTCCCAAACTCCTGCCAGCATGTCGCCAGCCAAACCAGCGTCAAGGTTACAATCGGTCGGCGTAGGGCTGCTAGCCATCATAGCAGCTTTCCTCCTCTTCTGGCCCGGCCCCGGTGACGTTCCCCGGCGTCGCCTCGCCTTCAAACCTCTGAACAAGGCGCAGATATTCAAGAGCCCGTTCAAGGGCTTCAGCAAGGGCGTGCAGGACATGATTAACAAGCTCAAGCAGCGCGACCGCACCATGGCGAAGTTCGTCGGGAACAGCGTCGAGACGATGCCGATCAGCGTCAACATGACGCAGCAAGGCGTGCTCCTCGCGCTGAAAAAGGCCTGGGGAGGGAATTTCTATCAGTCGGAAACGTGGCTGCAGTCGGCGCAAGCCGAGCTCTGGTGGGGTGTGACGATCAACGAATTTGGAGCTGTTACAGCGTTGGAGTTACCACGTGCGGAGATCACCGGCCCACTCCCGATGCTGCTGACGAAGCTCACTGGGCTGACCTCGCTGGACCTCAGGGGGAACCACTTGAGAGGAAGCATTCCGAAAGGGCTACTCGCGGCTTTACCCGGTCTGCAGTCGCTGTACCTCAGCGATAATAACCTCGTTGGCGAGTTTCCTTTTAACGAGGTTTTCAGGAGGCCGGTTGTTCCCATGGCGATGTTGCAAATTGACGGTAACGTCTTCACGGGGACCATCGCCGACGACGTTTTCGCGAATGCGACGTCGCTGCAGTCGCTCGGCCTCTCCGCCAACAAGTTCTCCGGGGCGATTCCCTCCAGCCTCGGCAACTGTCGGCAAATCTCAGCCATCGATCTGAGCGACAACCAGTTTACGGGGCAGATTCCAGGAAGCATAGCTGGCCTCCCTGCACTGTCAATCTTCGACGTCGGTCAGAACAAACTTTCTGGGGTCATTCCGGATTTCTTGGGCAACTTCCCAAACATGATGAACCTCGACTTGAGCAACAACCAGTTCTACGGGGTCGTTCCGGCAACATTTTCCAAGTTCGGGCAGACTTTGCGGGCAGTGAAGCTGGCCAACAATTTTCTCACGGGTCCACTGCCTCAATTTCCGAACCTTGGGCAGGGCTGTGGCTCTCCGGGTCCTGATGGCTCCGACAGCATCTCGTGCTACATGTTCAGCGTTCTCCTGGACTTATCCGGTAATTATTTTGAGGGCAGCACGCAGTTGACTATTCAGGTGCCCGGGTCGGAGGACTACCCTGGCACATCTCAAGTCTGCCCTGCTGAGTATCCTGAGAAGGTTCTGGTGGAGGGGAACTGTCTCACGACTGACGGTGTGGGGGATGCGGAGTGTACAGCTGAGGGTCAGAGGCTTCCTGAGCAGTGTAGCGCGTTCTGCGGAACAGGGACTCCAGTGGGCCAATGTGGCGGCAATGGGGTGTGTGTTGTGGATACGTCGGTGGCAGCAGCAGCCAAGCCGAAATATGTGTGCAAGTGTGACAACGGGTTCCAGGCTCCTGCTGGTAATCCTTTGACATGTGTGGCAGCTGCTTGAGAAGCTCCTCCATCCCAGCCGCGTGTGTCGGCTGCTTGGAAAGTTCAATTCTTGAAGTTAGCTAGGAGACACGCGGTGTCAGTGTAGAACACCCCAACACACGCTTCTATTGTAATCTGGTTGGTTTGTATTTTCATGTTGTACACATATTTCATTATGATTAACAGAGGTTCTGGGAATAATTTTTTATGTGCGTAGATTTACAAGGTGTTATTGAATTAACTCTGCTGATTTGAGTTTTAACTTTAGATGTAGCCAGTATGTCCATTCTCTAGATGTAAGAGCAAACAATAATCTTTGTACCTCACTTGGTTCTCGAGTGTACACAGCTCACATTGCTTCTTATGTTCCGAATCGCGTTTCATCGGGATAATATTGGTGTGACCAACCAAATGATGGATCATCCCGAAGGACCAGCTTCCCGCTTTTCGAATTGCCGAGATTCGTTTTGGCTCAAGTCGAGAGAGAGTTCCAAGCATCTCATTTTCAGTTCAACATCCTGACGCAACAGATACCTTCAGGGGAGATCAAGCCGACTCCTTGTCGTTGCTTCAGCCGTGACCCTTGAGTCACGTATTGCTTCACTTCGAGCTCCACTTCGATCAAACAGAAACATGTAAGCGGCTGTTTAGGCAATCCGTGTCCACTCCAACCCCCTAGCCTTTCATTCACGAACATTTTGTTTCTTCAGGTCGGAAGCCGTGGCAGAACAAGCTCCCCATGTGGTTGATGCTGCCCAGGAATCTGAAGATGAAGAAGAAACATTTGAGTCAATTGAGAAGTGTAGGCATCCAAACATTGAAGGACTTCAGGGTGCTGTAACGAGGGGTTGACGTTCTCGACAGTGATCACGCAGGGAATTAATGCTGGAGACGTTAAGAAACTTCAGGATGCTGGAGTTTACACTTGCAATGGACTGATGATGTGGACAAAGAAGGTAGCTATATTACCGGGATTCCTATCAGTCTGGAAAATGGTGGTACCCTCGATACCCACCGTGCCTTTCTTCGCAGGCCCTCTGTGACATCAAGGGTCTTTCCGATGCCAAAGTCGAGAAGATTCTTGAGGCCGCGGGTAAACTAGTGGTGAGTTTCTTCAAAGTCCGCTACATTCGCATCTTACAGCGGCGGCTATAACCTATTGTTTGATTCATTTTGGTTACAGAACTGTGGCTACGTTACGGGAAACGAAGCTCTTAACCTGGTAAGGGTTCATGCCCACATGCCCCATTAGCTTCATGAAGTTCCGTGAGCACCCTCACTCATGACCTATTACTATCAGAGGAAACAAGTCGTAAGGATCACGACAGGAAGCCAGGCCTTGGACGATCTCCTTGGAGGTTCGCCGTCATGCATTTTATTTGGGGTTACTTTCTTTCTTCAGTAGGCCTAGGCCTCACGACCATTGACCATGTCACGTTTCCAGGTGGCATTGAGACCATGGCCATAACTGAAGCTTTTGGTGAATTTCGGTAAGTGCTGCCCATGAATATTTGTTTGCTGCCCCACGTGGTGGTATTGGACCTAACAGGTTTACGCCTTCCAGGACGGGCAAGACTCAACTTGCACACACATTATGTGTGGCAACACAGGTATGCTACGTGAAAGATGACAGGTACATTTTGAGAAAAGCAACGTTTGCTAACTACCTGAACTATCCGCTGCGCAGCTGCCAATCAACATGAAAGGTGGCAATGGCAAAGTGGCCTTCATTGACACCGAAGGAACATTGTAAGTGATCATTAAATCAGAAGTTGTTTTGATGGATGTATCAAGTTGCAAGTTACTTATACTTGCCTGTTTGTGAATCAGCCGTCCAGAGAGAATTGTTCCAATCGCCGAGAGATTTGGCTTGGATCCAAATGCCGTGCTTGACAATGTAAGCAAATGATTTTTTAGGGACCATGTATGTACGTAAGTCTGTTACACTGATTCTCGTCGTAATGCAGATCATATTCGCTCGAGCTTACACGCACGAGCATCAATACCAGCTTCTCATTGCACTTGCCGCAAAGATGGCTGAAGAGCCCTTCAAGCTGCTGGTGAGCATCTTCGCTTCCGGTTACCGTTTCATAACCATTTAACTTACCCAATTTCAATGGCTCATTGGAAATCATTACGTCTGGACAGATCATCGACTCCATCACAGCTTTGTTCAGGGTGGACTTCACGGGGCGTGGAGAACTAGCGGAGAGACAGGTAAGAAACGACTAATAAGCCCAACATAAATCAGTTATGTTTTCCTGACACTGTTTCGCTTTACAGCAAAAACTGGCGCAAATGCTCTCAAGAATCACGAAGATTTCTGAGGAGTTTAACGTGGCTGTCTTTCTTACCAACCAAGGTAAAGCAGTCGCCACTGAGTGTACTTCCAACGGGAGACTCAGCGTTCTAAACTAACATGTGTCATTCCGTGCTGAATTGGCAGTCATTGCTGACCCCGGAGGAGGAACATTCGTAGCTGACCCCAAGAAGCCTGCTGGAGGTCATGTTATGGCTCATGCATCCACCGTGCGGTTGATGTTCCGCAAGGGCAAGGGGGAGCAGCGCATATGCAAGGTAATCGACTCGCCAAATTTGCCTGAATCTGAAGCTACCTTCGCAATTGCCAACGGAGGAGTCGTAGACGCAAAGGATTAAGAACGTTTCACTGAGAAAATGGCAACAATCCAGTTGCGGCTGGGTACTCATGTTGAGTAGTATGTACCTATCAAGAGTATGAGATTGTATTACAACACATTTACTATTTACAGAAAGAATTACACACAACAATTTAACAAACTACATCGTAATGCACAACAAACTATGTACACAGCAAACTCAAGCGCCGGAACTAGTGCCCGAACAAGCAAGAGCAAAAAATGGCATGGCATGCTTCCTAGCAGCTAGGCTTTACACTGGGAACAAACTACCCTAGTTGCTTAGTTGCTATCACCCTCATATGGAGGTGGAGGGATTTCGAAGCCTGCCATAGCCACTCTTATCTCTTCAACCGGCCACTGATGCTCCTTCTCAGCTGCTATACCAATAGCTTCGGCCACTCTTTGTGCCCCGTAGCTGAGTTGAGATTGTGTCTTCTCTGCTCCAGTCTGCAAGGTGAGGCACAGTGGGCAGAGTGGAATATGAAGTTCATAATTGGCATGGACATAAGTACAGTTGAATTCCCCCACAACAAAAGCCTGAAGTTCAGAAGTACAGCTCTTACCTGGGCTGCTGAATGCAGATGTCCCCAGCACTCGTGCCTGTTGTACTCCGGAATGTTTGAATGGAAGTGTACCCACACCAGCGCATCCTCAAGGTCTGAAAACACAAGAACAGCTTGTGTAATATCATCCCACTTAACTTGGAACAGCCATGGAACAGCCATGGCATGTGCTTATCAAATGCATACCTGGATGCTTATCGAAGAGTGCCCTATCACCGTGTCGGAACGCCTCCAAAACGACTGGAAGCTCCTTCCTGAAGATCCAGAATCTCAGGGCTGCAATGGCGTTCAGCAGGAAATGACCTCCACTGATGTGGCAGTGGACGTGGAGTGACATGTGGCAGTCTGAGCCATTGCAAGCATGCTCCGGGTGAACCTCTTGCCAAGGGTCCCTCAAGTAGGGCGAACGGAAGTCTGCTAAGCTGCAGTGCTGGCGCCACACTGCAAGCACCTCGTCCCTCTGCAGCCGAGAGTACCAGCCCATGAACTGTACCATGCCAATGAAAGAAAAGAGAAGAAAAGAAAAAAGAAAAAAGATACCTGAATCCCACATCGACAAGTCCTGAAATGCGAGAAGACATGTTCTCGCAATAAAAACATGCAGTATGCAATGGACAAAATAGGCAAGAAAGTAATTTAGACTGTTCCATCACGGCCCGACTCAAACTCACCTGAGATTTGTTGAATTCGTGCGCGATGGCGAGGGTGAGCCCAGCAGTGACGTCCGAGTGGGTGAAAGTGTACATCCGGGGCAGTGGCGCGTGTGCTGGATGTTGCTCCTCCTCTGCTCCCATGAACACCACCTGAAGCTTCTTTGACTCAAAGACTGCCGGGCCGAACAATCTCACCTGTGAGATTAGGAAAGTGGGTTGTGGAGATAACATGAGGTGAATTGCAAAATAAGAGGCAGAATAGGAGGAAAACAAACAAAAAATTTCCAGGTCAGGCTGCATCTACTTGCTCTTCGGAGGGAAACTACTCAAAAGTGAAGACAATTCTGCAGTACCTGAACGCGAGACTTAGCAGCCATTCCCATCGAGTTCCTGCCTGAAGCAGTCAGCCGTGCCTGTCCAACACCAGCCATCTCCCCATCCCTGAAAGACACCCCACGGCTAGAACTCTGAGCAGCCACTGAATTCCGCTTTGGAGGAAATGACTTCGCGGAATAAGGAGTGGCTACGCGCTTCTGACTCATGGTAGGACCCGAGAGATGATTCCTGCTACCGCCAAGGAATTGAACCTTAGACGGAGCAGGAGCCAAACCCAAGCTAGCCATGACGTCACTAGTGATTTTTCTCTTTGACAGACAAGGGAGGTTGCAACTACTGCTAGCGAGCAGGAACGGCTGCTGAGAAAGTGCTGCTGCTCAGCTGTTGTTCGTTCGTTCGTTCTGAAAGAGTGGCGGCTTATGCAGAGGTGGTTACACGATATGAGGATTTCGAGCTCCGGATGAGTTTGCTCATGGTTACTGCAGCTGCTTTTCTACGCTGCTTCCGCTTCTTGATTCGACGGTGGGGCTCGCATCGGCGACAGCAGCGAATCGAATTTCCGATCGACTCCATCGGGACGCACGAATTTTTTGTCATGCGCTCTTTCTAGGCTCAACACATGGCGAGTCGCGACGGAAATAGAGCCAGATGTCAGAGAGTACAGCTGTTCACTACTAGTTCATCACCTCACCACCTCACCACCTCAACACCTCACCACCTCACCAGCTACCCCAGCTCTTCTGCTCGCTATGAGACTGAGAAAGCAGAGCAGGCTCTAGCACCGACGTGGCGCGTGCTGGGGGTGTCATGGACGGGCAGTAGCATGTCGCTAAAGCGCGCGTTAAAAGCGAGGCGAGAAGGGCCGACACAAGCTCGCCACGTCATTAGCATCACCTGCTGCGCTGGAACCTAATTGCACTTGCACATGTACTCACTACGAGCGCACTCGAAGGAGACTTACCATAATTCGTGTACCTTTTGAAGCCGTTAAACCAGATAACTCATTCTCACTACATCTGCTCATGCTTCAGTTAGTTTGGTACCCACTCTTGTGTATCACACGAACAATAGTTCGGAATTAAGGTCGTTTTACGACGTCACATGCAATAAGTCTCATTTCGCAATTAGAATAGTACTCTCATTTAGCATAACGGAATACTGTTGATTCATTACTGCTCGCGAAATGTATTCATAATGTATGTTCCTTCAGGCTTAGCTGGAATCAGAGTACCATTATTGAGCATGTCTAAAGTCTGTGCAATTTGCAAAGCACGAGTCGCAACGCAATGTGCGGTGCTTGTGAGAAATGTGCATCGCTTTCTTAGCAATTACTGTTCCGCCGCGAAAGCCGCCGCAGAAATTGTGACCCCACACAACCCAGAAAGAAACTCTTGCCTGCAGCAGTTACCAACTCCGAAGCGCTTCGTTGAAAGGCCAAGGCCTTCTGAAAAATCTCTTTACCTCTCCTTATCGTCAAAAAACTTCCCCAACCCATCTCTTTCCCCCATCCCCCTCACCAAATCATCTCGTCAGCAGGAACCCAACCCAACCAGCCCACACGCACTCCCCATTCCCCTCATGCAAGTCAACCCGTAAGCAAGCAGGAACCCAACCAGCCCACAAACACTCTGAACTCTGAACGCATCAGAAAGTGAAAATTATATGTCACTCCAGATCGTCACACTGTCCAAGCTCCCTGGTGGTCTGCGCCGCATCTGATGCTGCAAGGTTCAGCAATGAACTGAGGCGCTACGAGACGTATCGACTCGCGTCGAATAATGTCGAGCCGCACCACATCAGCAAAACCAAAATCGGCCTGCCTGGCTGGCCCACTGGCCTTAGGTATAAATACTGCTCGAATTGGTAACCTTCTCACTCAAGCCTTCTAGCCAACGATAGTGGCAGCAACCAACCCACCTCTAAAACTCATTCCGTCTAATCTATCGAGCTCAGTTACCGCTACTCACAGCCTTCTCCTAACCAGCAACAATCATGGGTGCGCTTCGATCTCTCTTCCTGCTGGCCCTGCTCCTCGCCGCGACTCTCAACCTCCTCGCAGCAGTCCCCGCAGTGGCGCAGCCAGAAACAAAAACTTCCACGGTTCCGCAGGGCGCTCGGCGCGCCCTCAGGAGGCTCCTCGCTGCAGTCCCCACGAACTCTAACGGTCCTTCGACGTCCAGCCCCACGGCGGCTCCGCAGGGCGCGAAGCGCGCCCTCCTCGCGGCCACCTCCGGTGGCCCTTCGACGTCCACCCCCACGGCGGCTCCGCGCGTCCTTGCGGCCACCTCCGGCGGCCCTTCGACGTCCACCCCCACGGCGGCTCCGCGCGTCCTCGCGGCCACCTCCGGCGGCCCTTCGACGTCCACCCCCACGGCGGCTCCGCGCGTCCTCGCGGCCACCTCCGGCGGCCCTTCGACGTCCACCCCCACGGCGGCTCCGCGCGTCCTCACGGCCACCTCCGGCGGCCCTTCGACGTCCACCCCCACGGCGGCTCCGCGCGTCCTCGCGGCCACCTCCGGCGGCCCTTCGACGTCCACCCCCACGGCGGCTCCGCGCGTCCTCGCGACGACCTCCGGCGGCCCTTCGACGTCCACCCCCACGGCGGCTCCGCGCGTCCTCGCGACGACCTCCGGCGGCCCTTCGACGTCCACTCCCACGGCGGCTCCGCGCGTCCTCGCGACGACCTCCGGCGGCCCTTCGACGTCCACTCCCACGGCGGCTCCGCGCGTCCTCGCGGCCACCTCCGGCGGCCCCTCGACGTCCACCCCCACGGCGGCTCCGCGCGTCCTCGCGGCCACCTCCGGCGGCCCTTCGACGTCCACCCCCACGGCGGCTCCGCGCGTCCTCGCGGCCACCTCCGGCGGCCCCTCGACGTCCACCCCGACGGCGGCTCCGCGCGTCCTCGCGGCCACCTCCGGCGGCCCTTCGACGTCCACCCCCACGGCGGCTCCGCGCGTCCTCGCGGCCACCTCCGGCGGCCCCTCGACGTCCACCCCCACGGCGGCTCCGCGCGTCCTCGCGGCCACCTCCGGCGGCCCTTCGACGTCCACCCCCACGGCGGCTCTGCGTGTCCTCGCGGCCACCTCCGGCGGCCCTTCGACGTCCACCCCCACGGCGGCTCCGCGCGTCCTCGCGGCCACCTCCGGCGGCCCCTCGACGTCCACCCCCACGGCGGCTCCGCGCGTCCTCGCGGCCACCTCCGGCGGCCCTTCGACGTCCACCCCCACGGCGGCTCCGCGCGTCCTCGCGGCCACCTCCGGCGGCCCTTCGACGTCCACCCCCACGGCGGCTCCGCGCGTCCTCGCGGCCACCTCCGGCGGCCCCTCGACGTCCACTCCCACGACGGCTCCGCGCGTCCTCGCGACGATCTCCGGCGGCCCTTCGACGTCCACCCCCACGGCGGCTCCGCGCGTCCTCGCGACGACCTCCGGCGGCCCTTCGACGTCCACCCCCACGGCGGCTCCGCGCGTCCTCGCGACGACCTCCGGCGGCCCTTCGACGTCCACTCCCACGGCGGCTCCGCGCGTCCTCGCGGCCACCTCCGGCGGCCCCTCGACGTCCACCCCCACGGCGGCTCCGCGCGTCCTCGCGGCCACCTCCGGCGGCCCTTCGACGTCCACCCCCACGGCGGCTCCGCGCGTCCTCGCGGCCACCTCCGGCGGCCCCTCGACGTCCACCCCCACGGCGGCTCCGCGCGTCCTCGCGGCCACCTCCGGCGGCCCTTCGACGTCCACCCCCACGGCGGCTCCGCGCGTCCTCGCGGCCACCTCCGGCGGCCCCTCGACGTCCACCCCCACGGCGGCTCCGCGCGTCCTCGCGGCCACCTCCGGCGGCCCTTCGACGTCCACCCCCACGGCGGCTCCGCGTGTCCTCGCGGCCACCTCCGGCGGCCCTTCGACGTCCACCCCCACGGCGGCTCCGCGCGTCCTCGCGGCCACCTCCGGCGGCCCCTCGACGTCCACCCCCACGGCGGCTCCGCGCGTCCTCGCGGCCACCTCCGGCGGCCCTTCGACGTCCACCCCCACGGCGGCTCCGCGCGTCCTCGCGGCCACCTCCGGCGGCCCTTCGACGTCCACCCCCACGGCGGCTCCGCGCGTCCTCGCGGCCACCTCCGGCGGCCCCTCGACGTCCACTCCCACGACGGCTCCGCGCGTCCTCGCGACGATCTCCGGCGGCCCTTCGACGTCCACCCCCACGGCGGCTCCGCGCGTCCTCGCGACGACCTCCGGCGGCCCTTCGACGTCCACCCCCACGGCGGCTCCGCGCGTCCTCGCGACGACCTCCGGCGGCCCCTTCGACGTCCACTCCCACGGCGGCTCCGCGCGTCCTCGCGGCCACCTCCGGCGGCCCCTCGACGTCCACCCCCACGGCGGCTCCGCGCGTCCTCGCGGCCACCTCCGGCGGCCCTTCGACGTCCACCCCCACGGCGGCTCCGCGCGTCCTTGCGGCCACCTCCGGCGGCCCCTCGACGTCCACCCCCACGGCGGCTCCGCGCGTCCTCGCGGCCACCTCCGGCGGCCCTTCGACGTCCACCCCCACGGCGGCTCCGCGCGTCCTCGCGGCCACCTCCGGCGGCCCCTCGACGTCCACCCCCACGGCGGCTCCGCGCGTCTCTCGCGGCCACCTCCGGCGGCCCTTCGACGTCCACCCCCACGGCGGCTCCGCGCGTCCTCGCGCGCCACCTCCGGCGGCCCTTCGACGTCCACCCCCACGGCGGCTCCGCGCGTCCTCGCGGCCACCTCCGGCGGCCCTTCGACGTCCACCCCCACGGCGGCTCCGCGCGTCCTCGCGGCCACCTCCGGCGGCCCTTCGACGTCCACCCCCACGGCGGCTCCGCGCGTCCTCGCGGCCACCTCCGGCGGCCCTTCGACGTCCACCCCCACGGCGGCTCCGCGCGTCCTCGCGGCCACCTCCGGCGGCCCTTCGACGTCCACCCCCACGGCGGCTCCGCGCGTCCTCGCGGCCACCTCCGGCGGCCCCTCGACGTCCACCCCCACGGCGGCTCCGCGCGTCCTCGCGGCCACCTCCGGCGGCCCTTCGACGTCCACCCCCACGGCGGCTCCGCGCGTCCTCGCGGCCACCTCCGGCGGCCCTTCGACGTCCACCCCCACGGCGGCTCCGCGCGTCCTCGCGGCCACCTCCGGCGGCCCCTCGACGTCCACTCCCACGACGGCTCCGCGCGTCCTCGCGACGATCTCCGGCGGCCCTTCGACGTCCACCCCCACGGCGGCTCCGCGCGTCCTCGCGACGACCTCCGGCGGCCCTTCGACGTCCACCCCCACGGCGGCTCCGCGCGTCCTCGCGACGACCTCCGGCGGCCCTTCGACGTCCACTCCCACGGCGGCTCCGCGCGTCCTCGCGGCCACCTCCGGCGGCCCCTCGACGTCCACCCCCACGGCGGCTCCGCGCGTCCTCGCGGCCACCTCCGGCGGCCCTTCGACGTCCACCCCCACGGCGGCTCCGCGCGTCCTTGCGGCCACCTCCGGCGGCCCCTCGACGTCCACCCCCACGGCGGCTCCGCGCGTCCTCGCGGCCACCTCCGGCGGCCCTTCGACGTCCACCCCCACGGCGGCTCCGCGCGTCCTCGCGGCCACCTCCGGCGGCCCCTCGACGTCCACCCCCACGGCGGCTCCGCGCGTCCTCGCGGCCACCTCCGGCGGCCCTTCGACGTCCACCCCCACGGCTGTTGGGAAATAGAGGCCTTTTTCTCCTTGTGTGCTGGCGTAGAGTGAAGAGGCCACGTGGAGGGCACAGGTACTGCTGCAGTGCTGCTGTGGTGAAAGGCTGCTGTGGTGCCAGGCTGTTGTGGTGCGGTGGTATGGGATTGAAACCGATTGGAGAGCACGGGTACTTCACAGGATCCTGTGTATCACAGCAGATTGGGTGGCTCTTGAGTGCTGCTTTAGCAGTCGTGTTGGTGGGGCATGTTAGAGGTTAGGGGTAATGTTGATTTCTGCTTGCTCTTGTGTGCTATTTGCTTCTTGTTGCTTTTCTTTTTTGTTGCTCTTGCTTGTCTTTTGGTGGGCTGGACTGGACAGTCAGAATAAAAGAGTTCCATTCCATGCTAGTGTGTGTGTGTGTGTGTGTTTGTGTGTGTGTGTGTGTGTGTGTGTGTGTGTGTGTGTGTGTGTTGTGTGTGTGTGTGTGTGTGTGTGTGTGTGTGTGTGTGTGTGTGTGTGTGATCCCTTCCAATAATTCCATGCTCTGTTTTTTTTTTTATTACAAGTCTGCCATTCCCCAATTGCACTATCACATCTAGAAGAGCCCTCACAAAGGATTTCCAAAATGCAACGATTCACCTTAGAGATCCCAAAAACCCTTATGTTAATCAATAACACTTATCACAAAGCTAATATTTGGAAGGCTTAGCACGGTTTGCTCCTCCCACTCCCTTCGCCTTCCCACCACCATTACCGGTACCACCGCCGCCGCCGCCCCTCCCTCTTGCATGCTTGTTGCCGTGACTACCCTTGCCCTTCTCTCGTCTCTTTCCCTTCTCCCCTCCCTTTCCCTTCTCCCCTCCCTTTGCCTTCTCCCCTCCCTTTCCCTTCTCCCCTCCCTTTGCCTTCTCCCCTCCCTTTGCCTTCTCCCCTCCCTTTCCCTTCTCCCCTCCCTTTCCCTTCTCCCTTCCCTTTCCCTTCTCCCCTCCCTTTCCCTTCTCCCCTCCCTTTGCCTTCTCCCCTCCCTTTGCCTTCTCCCCTCCCTTTGCCTTCTCCCCTCCCTTTGCTTTCTCCCCTCCCTTTGCCTTCTCCCCTCCCTTTGCCTTCTCCCCTCCCTTTGCCTTCTCCCCTCCCTTTGCCTTCTTCTTTGCTGGGTTGTGCGTTCTTGACATATCTGACTGGTTCAATGACCACCCCCACTGGTTTCATGACCTGCGGAAACACAAGCACAGCACACGCAAAACACACACAGAAAGGTGAGGAAGGGAGGGAACGTTCAGCCCAGGCTTTTGAGTCGACTCAAAAGTCACCTCGGAGCGTTCAGCCCAGGCTTTTGAGTCGACTCAAAAGTCACCTCGGAGCGTTCAGCCCAGGCTTTTGAGTCGACTCAAAAGTCACCTCGGAGCGTTCAGCCCAGGCTTTTGAGTCGACTCAAAAGTCACCTCGGAGCGTTCAGCCCAGGCTTTTGAGTCGACTCAAAAGTCACCTCGGAGCGTTCAGCCCAGGCTTTTGAGTCGACTCAAAAGTCACCTCGGAGCGTTCAGCCCAGGCTTTTGAGTCGACTCATAAGTCACCTCGGAGCGTTCAGCCCAGGCTTTTGAGTCGACTCAAAAGTCACCTCGGAGCGTTCAGCCCAGGCTTTTGAGTCGACTCAAAAGTCACCTCGGAGCGTTCAGCCCAGGCTCCTGTTGGCTCCTTGTCACTGGGTTGTGCATTTTTTTTATGTATCTGACAGGTAGAATGACCACCCCCACTGGCTTCATGACCTGCGGAAACGAACACATCATCGCAAAGAATGCATGCACAATGCACACAGAGCAATCACACAACAGCCGACATGAAAAAAGGTGAGAGAAGTTGAAAAAAGGCGAGGAGAGGTGAGAAGAGGTGAGAAGAGGAGGGAATATTCAGCTCCTGCTCCACTAAGCCCCTCATCCGACAAACTTTGAGGCACCTCAGAAGCCAGTTATTTGGGCAATTTTCGAGGCGCCTCAAAAAGGGGATATTCAGCTCCTGCTCCACTAAGTGAAAAAAGGAGTGTTTTTTCACGTGGCTCCACTAAGCTCCTCATCTGACTAGCATTGAGGCACCTCAGTAGTAAGATGCCTCAGAAGCCTGTTGCTTCCAGGAGCTTACCTCAGAAGCCTGTTGCTTCCAGGAGCTTACCTCAGAAGCCTGTTGCTTCCAGGAGCTTACCTCAGAAGCCTGTTGCTTCCACGAGCTTACCTCAGAAGCCTGTTGCTTCCAGGAGCTTACCTCAGAAGCCTGTTGCTTCCAGGAGCTTACCTCAGAAGCCTGTTGCTTCCAGGAGCTTACCTCATGGTCCCTGAACATGGATCACATTACCCTGTGCGCTCCCATGGTCCCTGAACATGGATCACATTACCCTGTGCGCTCCCATGGTCCCTGAACATGGATCACATTACCCTGTGCGCTCCCATGGTCCCTGAACATGGATCACATTACCCTGTGCGCTCCCATGGTCCCTGAACATGGATCACATTACCCTGTGCGCTCCCATGGTCCCTGAACATGGATCACATTACCCTGTGCGCTCCCATGGTCCCTGAACATGGATCACATTACCCTGTGCGCTCCCATGGTCCCTGAACATGGATCACATTACCCTGTGCGCTCCCATGGTCCCTGAACATGGATCACATTACCCTGTGCGCTCCCATGGTCCCTGAACATGGATCACATTACCCTGTGCGCTCCCATGGTTTTTTCACCAAAAGTCAACACTCGCCCCTGTCAGCACACACTCACTGCTGGCGGGGTCTGCCCTGCAGTCACTGCCAGGCGGGTCACTCACTGCCAGGCGGGTCACTCACTGCCAGGCGGGTCACTCACTGCCAGGCGGGTCACTCACTGCCAGGCGGGTCACTGCCAGGCAGAGCGGAACGCTGCTTCTGTGCTCCCTTGGACTCTCTACTTCCCTCGCCGCTGTAACCCTTTGCGCTCCTGTGTCCGCACTGCACTCACAAGTCCAGCTGCCCTGCCCTGTGTCTATGCTGTGCAGCACTCCCAACCACCTCTGCACTCACCGCTGGGCGAGTCATGGAGCGGAACGCTGCTTCTGTGTTGAAGTCCCGCCCAATGGGCTTAGCTGCTGCTTTTGGCACTGGCACCCCTACCATTAATCAGTTCCCCTCCCCACTGCCTCTCTGCACTCACCCCTGTAGCTTCAGCCTGTAGCTTCAGCCTGTAGCTGCAGCCTGTAGCTGCAGCCTGTAGCTTCAGCCTGTAGCTTCAGCCTGTAGCTTCAGCCTGCAGCCTGCAAGCACACTCACCGCTGGGCGAGTCATGGAGCGGAACGCTGCTTCTGTGTTGAAGTCCCGCCCAATGGGGTTGCGGATGCTGCGTGCGTACTCCGCCCGGTTGCGGAACATGTTGGGCAGCTCGGGCACAGAAAACCTCTTGATCTGCCCATGGGCGAGTGGGAGACATTGGAAGGAGGGAAGGGGGCAGTGGAGGAAAAGAGATTACATTGTGAATGAAAAAAGCGATATCAGATGGGAGGGATGGGAGAGAGGGGCAGTGATGCAACTTTATTGCTCCTATCAAGCACAGAAAGCTACAAGCAGAGCAACGCAGCTGTATGATAGCTGTATGTGTAACATACATTCAGTCCTCACAGAGCTATCAACAGAAGTTTGAACATCATACACTCCTCACCTTCTTATTGTCCTTCTCCGATACAATCACGTGAGTCAGCTTCAAATCCGCCCTCTGTTTCACGGCATCCATCCGCCTCCTCTTCGCCTTCTCCCTCTCCTCCGCGATCCACTTCGGCCCCTTCCCTCTCCCCTTCCCTCTCCCCTTCCCTCTCCCCTTCCCTCTCCCCTTCCCTCTGCCTGCCCTTCTCTTCTCCCCGCAATCTTCACCTCAGTCTTTCCCCCTCTGCTTTGCCCTCCTCCCCCACCAACGTCCTCTCCGCCTCCCCTTCCACATCCCCCTTCCTCCTCCTCTCCCTCCGCCCCGTCCGTCCCCCTCTCTCATTGCCACCCACTCGTCTCTCTCCCCCTGCCCCTCCCCTCCCACCACTCTCTCTCTCTCTCTCTCTCTCTCTCTCTCTCTCTCTCTCTCTCTCTCTCTCTCTCTCTCTCTCTCTCTCTCTCTCTCTCTCTCTCTCAAATTCTTAAACACCGTTCTCCCTCCTCCCACCTTCTCTCCCCCCTCCTCCTCTCCCCATCCTGCTCCCCCCCACCTATCACCACCCACTCCACCTCCCCCCTTTTCCCCTCCCCCGCCCTCCCCATCCTCCCCGTCAGCTGGCAGAGGCAGGCACGGGCAGGCACGGGCAGGCACAAGCAGGCACAGGCAGGCACGAGAAGGCACGGGCAGGAATGGCAGGCACGGGCAGGCATGGGCAGGCACGGGCAGTAGAGGCAGGCTGGCAGAGTTAGGCACGGGCAGCAGAGGCTGTGGCGGCTGTAATGGCAGGTGTAGCGGCGGGTTGGCAAAGGGAGGCTGGCAGTGGCAGGTACAGGTAGCAGTGGCGGGCTGGCAGTGGCGGGCGACTTAGGCGCGACAGAACGGGCCTCAGGGACTACGAGAAGGACCCGCGGGGGACTTAGCTAAGTGCGACGGGACGGGCCTGCGGGGGGGGCTGTTCTAAGCACGACTACGCGGACCCCGGGGGGCCCTTCTGGAGCGCGACGAAACGAGGGCCCGCGGGGACCTTTGATCGCGACGAAACGAGGGCCCGCGGGGACCTTTGATCGCGACGAAACGAGGGCCCGCGGGGACCTTTGATCGCGACGAAACGAGGGCCCGCGGGGACCTTTGATCGCGACGAAACGAGGGCCCGCGGGGACCTTTGATCGCGACGAAACGAGGGCCCGCGGGGACCTTTGATCGCGACGAAACGAGGGCCCGCGGGGGTCGTCCTAACCGCGACACAGTGAGTCCGCGTGGGGGGGCCTAACCTACGGCGGCGAAATCGAGCATAAGGGGCGGGCGCCTCGTTTTAAAACGACTATCAAGAGCTAAGGGAGGGAGTGGAAGCGTGAGAGGGAGGAAACACCTACTCTGTACCATCATGTGGAGAGGAGAACTTTGCACTCGGTCAGAGTCCAGAATTGGTCAGACTGGAGATTCCACAAGTATGTAAGTGTAATACTCTCTAATGCCTACCCCATTTCTAAACATAGATACAATGACATAGTAACATAGTTTGACATTCTTAATCACAACCCCAATATGCTTCCATATATTGACTGCTACGTTTATAAAAAATCTGGAAAACAAGAGGTTTATGGAGCCATAGCAGCAGGAATATCAACCATGGTTCCTGCTGGCGTAACAGGATGAGTTCGTTCGTAAGAAAGCTGAGAAATCAACCATAGCAGTCATGTCCATTCGTGTTTTGTAAGATTCATGCATAGTTGACATTATAGTGTCTGTCCATCTTTAGCGAAGCAGATCTGTAGTGTGTATTAACGGTGAGCAAGAGCCGGAATGTGCGGTTCGTGCGAAGTTTCACGAATCACGCATCGAGTTTCGCAATTACTGTTCCGCCGTGAATGCCGCCGCGGAAAACCTCGCAATCTGAAAACCTTCGCAGCGCGCCCAAATTCTCAAGCTGCGAATCGCCTCAGAGTCCAGTCCAGAAACATGTTCTCCTGCTTACGCCTCTTCACCTCTCGTAATCAGCAAACACCTTCCCCAACCCATCTCTTCCCCCCCAAAAACTCTCACTCGCACAACAGACCTCGTCAGAAGCAACCCAACCAGCCTCGCGCACACATTCGGGGCCCGTCATTATTGCCTTTTATATAATTTTCAGCATCACCATCACCCAAAACTCCCCACCATCGGCGCCGCATCCGACGCTTCTAGGCTCAGCAGTAAACCGAGGCGCCACGAAACGCAATACGACAGCAGACCGAAACTGGCCTGCCCGTATGGCGCGATGCTTCGTGGTATAAAATTCCGCTCTAGCTAAGCAGATCATCATCATTCGGGCCTCATTCAACTAGAACTAGTAGTAGCAGCCATCCCAGCGCCTTGGAATATATTCCCAGAAGCCTCTGAAACTACCGTCAGCCATCCCAGCGATCTGATTCTTATTTCCTATTCAGGCTTCTTTCAGTAAGAAACGCAGCCATGGGTGCGCTTCGCTCGCTCTTCCTGCTCGCCCTCGTCCTCGCCGCGACTCTGAGCCTCGCTGGAGTCTCAGCGGCGCCGCGCCGCGCCCTCGGCAAGGTCAAGGGGGACCCTCCTCAGAAGCCCCTTCCTCCAACTCCTTTCGACCCGAAGAGCTTCCCTGTCGCGTCCAACCACCCCTCTCCAAGCGGCTCACGGAAGGGCTCCATGGACTCAACCATCTCGTTCGATTCCAAGGCGCCATCCGTGCCCTCACTCGGCGGCTCGCCGTCCCGAAAGGGCTCAGCGGATTCGACCTTCTCCTTCGATTCCAAGGACGGGGGATCCCGCAGGAGCTCCGTGGATTCCGTCTCGTCTGTGAAAGCCACAGCTGTGAAAGCTCGGCGGGCTCTCCTCGATTTCGCGGGTCAGCGCAACGTGCCCGAGGCCACTGGCCCTCAGACGCCGAAACCCGCCGAGGTTGACGGCGCCGACTCGCACGTGGTGACGCCGCGCATTCTCGTTATCAAGGGGGGACCTCAGAAGCCCCTTCCGCCCAACCCAAGCGGCTCGCGGAAGGGCTCCATGGACTCAACCATCTCGTTCAATTCCAAGGCGCCATCCGTGCCCTCACTCAACGGCGCGCCGTCCCGAAAGGGCTCAGCGGATTCGACCTTCTCCTTCGATTCCAAGGACGGCGGGTCCCGCAGGAGCTCCGTGGGTTCCGTCTCGTCCGTGGATTCCGCTGCTGCGGCGAAGCAATTCCTCGCAAACGTCCCAAACGCGTTCGAGCCTTACTCGGGCAACTCTGGCGGATCCCGCAAGGGCTCAGGGGCAACGCCACGCATTCTCGTTATTAAGGGGGGACCTCAGAAGCCCCTTCCGCCCAACCCAAGCGGCTCTCGGAAGGGCTCCATGGACTCAACCATCTCGTTCAATTCCAAGGCGCCATCCGTGCCCTCACTCAACGGCGCGCCGTCCCGAAAGGGCTCAGCGGATTCGACCTTCTCCTTCGATTCCAAGGACGGCGGGTCCCGCAGGAGCTCCGTGGGTTCCGTCTCGTCCGTGGATTCCGCTGCTGCGGCGAAGCAATTCCTCGCAAACGTCCCAAACGCGTTCGAGCCTTACTCGGGCAACTCTGGCGGATCCCGCAAGGGCTCAGGGGCAACGCCGCGCATTCTCGTTATTAAGGGGGGACCTCAGAAGCCCCTTCCGCCCAACCCAAGCGGCTCTCGGAAGGGCTCCATGGACTCAACCATCTCGTTCGATTCCAAGGCGCCATCCGTGCCCTCACTCAACGGCGCGCCGTCCCGAAAGGACTCAGAGGGTTCGTTCATCTCCATCGATTCCAACGACAGCGGATCTCGCAGGAGCTCCGTGGGTTCCGTCTCGTCTGTGAAAACCGGGGTGTCTGTTCAGATTCGCGCCGCTGATTCCAATGGCAAAAAGGGAGGGAAGTGATTCGTCAGGTGGTTTCAAGCGTTGGAGTAGGGGCTTTTGCTTGCTGGTTGGCTAACGTTGAGGGATTGAGGCAGTTGTGAGGAGGCACGGCTACTGTGCAGCTGTTCTGCTGTGGTGCCAGGCTGCTGTGGTGCGGTGACATGAGCTCCAAACCGGTTGGAGGGCATGGATAGTGGTGCTGTGTTCCTGTGGTACTAGGCTGCTGTGTCTCACGGGAAAATAGATGGAAACTCCAGGAAACTCAGGGGTGCTGCTTTAGGGGCGTGCTGGTGGGTAGGAGTGGATTGTGGGGGGTAATGCTGCTTTCTTCTCGCTCTAGTGTGCTTTTTGCTTCTTGTCGCTTTCCTTTGCTCTTGCTCCTGCTTGTCTTTCCGTGGGTTGGATGAAGTTTTTAATGCTCGAGTGTGTGTGTGTGTGATGCCTTTTAATAATTCCCTGTTCCGCTTCTCTGTGCTGTCAATCGCACACTTGCACTACAGCATCCTAAAAGGCATCACCAATAACATAATTTCAAAATGCAATGGTTTGCATCGTATATCCCAACAATCCTTAATCACACTAACCACACTACTTGGAAGGCTTAGCTTTACCCTTATTACGGTTTGCTCCTCCCACACCCTTTTTTCTCTCACCACCACCACCACCACCGCCGCCACTGCCACCCCTCCCTCTTGCATTCTTGTTGCCATACTTACTATTACCCTTGCCCTTCTCTCCTCTCTTGCTCGTATCTCCTCCCTTTCCCTTCTCCCCTCCCTTGGCCTTTTTCTTTGCTGGCTCCTCGTCAGTGGGCTGGGCATTCTTGACGTATCGGACAGGTCGAATGACCACCCCCACTGGCTTCATGACCTGCGGAAACAAACAACACAACGCATGCGCACAACACACACAGAACGATGAGAAAGGGAAGATGCTCATTTCTCAGCACCTGCTCTTGTTGGCTCCTCGACAGTGGGCTGGGCATTCTTGATGTATCAGACAGGTCGAATGACCACCCCCACTAGCTTCATGACCTGCGGGAACACATGCACAACATGCACAGCACACGCACAGCACACGCACAGCACACGCACAGCACACGCACAGCACACGCACAGCACACGCACAACACACGCACAACACACGGACAACACACGCACAACACACACACAAACACATGCACAGAAAGATGAGAAATGGAGGGATGTGTCGTCCCCGGCTTGTGTTGACTCTTGATCATTGTTGATGAATCTGACAGGTCAAATGACCACCCCCACTGGCTTCATGACATGGGGGAAAGTAACACACACAACACACGCAGAAAACACAACACACACAAATGATAAAAGAAAAGAGTGTGCATCCCCTGCTCTCCTTGGCTGAGAGTTCTAGACATATCTGACAGGTGGAATGACCATCCCCACTGGCTTGATATCGTAACAGACAGCATACAACAGACAGCATACAACAGACAGCATACAACAGACAGCATACAACAGACAGCATACAACAGACAGCATACAACAGACAGCATACAACAGACATGCAATACACACAGAATACGAGGTGACTTTTGAGTCGACTCAAAAGTCACCTTGATAACCTGTCGTAACAGCATACAACAAACATGCAATACACACAGAATACACAGCACACACAGCGGGAACGAGGGAGAACTCCCCACTACCTCTGCACTCCCCACTGCCTCTGTACTCCCCACTACCTCTGCACTCCCCACTGCATTTGCACTCACCGCTGGGCGAGTCATGGAGCGGAACGCTGCTTCTGTGTTGAAGTCCCGCCCAATGGGGTTGCGGATGCTGCGTGCGTACTCCGCCCGGTTGCGGAACATGTTGGGCAGCTCGGGCACAAAAAACTTCTCGATCTGCCCATGGGAGAGGAGAGTGCGAGGGATTGGATGGAAGGAGGCAGATGGAGGAAGAAAACATACCGCTAATCCCGAAATAAAGAAGGCAGGACGTAAACAATGTTGCAACCATATTCCTTCTATCTACACTATGTGGGAAAGTTTTGCAAAGTGTCATTATCAATAGGTTCCTACGAATGACACCGACCATTTCAAAATTTGCCCTCTCCCGCTCTTTACTCACCTTCTTATTGTCCTTCTCTGATACAATCACGTGAGTCAGCTTCGAATCCGCCCTCTGTTTCACTGCATCCATCCGCCTCCTCTTCGCCCTCTCCCTCTCCTCTACTCACCAACTCACCCCTCCCCGTCCCCCCTTTTACTCACCTTCTTATTGTCTTTCTCTGATACAATCACATGAGTCAGCTTCTCTATCCAGTCCAGCCCTATCCTCTTCCCCCCCCCCTTTCACTCACCTTCTTATTGTCCTTCTCCGATACAATCACATGCGTCAGCTTCGAATCCGCCCTCTGTTTCACCGCATCCATCCGCCTCCTCTTCGCCTTCTCCCTCTCCTCCTCGATCCACTTCGGCGCCCCCTTCCGCCTCTGCACCTCCTCCCACTGTCCCCACCCCGGCAACGTCACCGGCCCCTCCTCTCTCCCCACTTCCTTTTCCACCACTCGTTCTTTCTCCGCCTCGAATTCTGCTGCCACGTCATCACCTGCGAAGGCCAATCGCATCAGCTCGTCTTGACCCTTTTCAAACGCGCTCGCTCCGTTCCCTTCCTCTCCTCCTCCTTCTCCTACTCCTGTTCCACTTGCCCGTCCCTTTCTCTTCTTGCCTACCGGTTTCTCTCCTCTCTCCTCCTCTTCCTCCATCCCCACTCCTGCTCCCCTCTCCACTCTCTCCCCTGCATCCTCCCCCCACGCGTCATCCTCCATATAAGTATCCCCCTTGCCCTCCAAACGCATCCCCTCGTTATAAGCCACACCGTCGTCTATATCCTCCTCTCCATCCTCCCTCTCACTCTCGCTATAATCACCCTGCATAACACCCACAGCACCATTACCAGACCCATCACCCCTCTTCCCCCCCTCTCCTCCCTTCGCCCTGACTCTCCCCTTCCCCCTCTCCCCCCCCTCACCCCTCTCTGCGCTCCCTTCCTCTCTCCCCTCCTCCACCCCTTCCTCCTCCCCTCCCTCCATCCTCCCCCCACCCTCACCCACCCCCTTCTCCCCTCCACTCCCTGTGTGGCACAGCAAAGCCTCCAAATCCCCTTCAAGTGGCGGCGCAGACACGTCTACAGGGGCTGAAGCAGAGTTGTCAGCAACAGGGACCTGCAGCAGGGGTGGGAAGGAGGGTGGGTGGGTGGGGAGATGTTAGAAAGGGTGAGAGTGAGACTGCGATCCCCTTCCCCTGCTCCCGGCGCCTCTCCCCCACCATCACGCACGGGTGGCGGCACAGACACGTCTACAGGGGCTGATGCAGAGTTGCCAGCAACGGGTAACTGCAGAAGGGGGAGGGGAGGGGGGGAGATGTTGGAGAGAGTGAGAGCTGTTGGGAAGGGGCAACGGCAGGGAGGAGGGGGTGGGAGGGGCGAAGCAACGAACGTGCCAGCAAGGGGCGAAGCAACGAACGTGCCAGCAAGGGGCGAAGCCACGAACGTGCCAGCAAGGGGCGAAGCCACGAACGTGCCAGCAAGGGGCGAAGCCACGAACGTGCCAGCAAGGGGCGAAGCCACGAACGTGCCAGCAAGGGGCGAAGCCACGAACGTGCCAGCAAGGGGCGAAGCAACGAACGTGCCAGCAAGGGGCGAAGCAACGAACGTGCCAGCAAGGGGCGAAGCCACGAACGTGCCAGCAAGGGGCGAAGCCACGAACGTGCCAGCAAGGGGCGAAGCCACGAACGTGCCAGCAAGGGGCGAAGCCACGAACGTGCCAGCAAGGGGCGAAGCAACGAACGTGCCAGCAAGGGGCGAAGCAACGAACATCAACACAGCCACGCCACTCACCGAGTTGACTTTTGAGTCGACTCAAATGTTTGCAACACATTAGAAGACCTTGCACATCAACACAGCCACGCCACTCACCCCTGACTGAGAAGGAGGTGACTTTTGAGTCGACTTAAAAGAGGCTGTTTGAAACACATTAGAAGACCTTGCAAGTCAACACAGCCAGCCACTCACCCCTGACTGAGAAGAGGCTGTTTGAAACACATTGAACAAACCTTGCAAGTCAACACAGCCAGCCACTCACCCCTGAGAAGGACAACCCTTTCCCCGCTCCAAGCATCGCCTTCACCTGCCGTGCTGCCTCCCTCTCCTCCTTCAACAACCTTCCACCCTTCCCCTCTGCCCCTCCTCCTCCTCTCCCCGCATTCTTCACCCCACTCTTTCCCCCTCCGCTTTGCCCTCCTACCCCAACATCCTCCCCTCCCCCTCCTTCCTCCTCCTCTCCCTCCTCCCCTTCCCCCTCTCTCACTGCCACCCATTCGTCTCTTTCCTCCTGCCCCTCCCCTCCCACTACTGTCTCTCCCAGATTCCCAAATACTCGTCTCCCTGCTCCCACCCTCTCTCCCTCCTCTTCCTCCTCTCCCCATCCTCCTCCTCCCCACCCATCACCCCCTCCTCCACCTCCCCCCTTCCCCTTCCCACCCTCCCCATCCTCTCCGTCACCATACCCCTCCCCTTCCAACCCCTCCTCTAGGTCTTTAATCGCCTCTATAGCCTCTTTCTGAGCTTCCAATCTCCTCCTCTCAATAGCCTTAGCCATAAACGGCAACGCAAAAAGACCACTCTTCGTTGCCCCATCCCCCTCCCCTCCCTCCCCTCCATCCCCTCCCCCCTTCCCTTCTAGGGCCCTCAGTATTCTTGCCTTAGCACTCGCTACTAGCCGCCTTCCCTCCTTCTCCCCTCCCTTTCCCTTCCCTCCCGCCTCCTCCCCCTCACTCCCCCCAGACTCCTCCCCACTCCCCTCCTCTCCCCACTCCCCCTCCCCATCCTCCTCCTCCTCCTCCTCCTCATCCTCCCCCTCCCCTCTCCCAATCGTTGCCGAATGAATCTTTCTAGTCAGCATAGCATGCGTTCTTAGTTGCTCTGCTATAGCCTCCCTCGTCCCTTGCCCTCCAACCGCCGCTTTAGCCGCCATTCCCCTCTCTATAATCCTCTTTGCCCACTTGGAAGTGTTTTTATGCCGAAGGGTCATTCGCTCCTTAGCACGTAAATACTCCTGCTTTATCGCGGCTTCTCTTGCTGCCTCCTTATCCTCCCACTCCTCCTCCCCACCCGCTTCCCCTCCCGCTGCGATCCCCTTCTTTCTCTTCCTCTCTTCCGCCTTCCTTTCCATCTTGTGAAAGGTTTTGGATTTGATTTTCTTGACTCGCTTCGCCTTTGCTTCGTGCTGCAGCAGCAGCGAGCGCATCTTGGCTAGTCGGTTCATCCTCTCCCTTGCTTCTTCTACTGACATCTGGTGGGAGGGGAGGGAAGGGGAGGAGAAGGGAGGGAGGGGAGGGGAAGGGGACGGGACGGGACGGGACGGAAGGGGAGGGGAAGGGGAGGTGAAGGAAGGAAGGAGGGAGTGGGGGGAGGAGGGTGAGGGCATGGGAAATGGAACGAGCACTGGCATGGTGCAATGGTAGCGAGTGCATCTTGGCTAGTCGGTTCATTCTCTCCCTCGCTTCTTCCAATGACATCTGGTGGACGGGGGAAGAGGAAAGAGGGAGGGCAAGTGTGCATGAGTATGGGGAGATGGCTTGGTGCAGCGGTAGCTGCAGCAGCAACGATCGCATCTTGGCCAGTCGGTTCATCCTCTCCCTTGCTTCTTCTACTGACATCTGGTGGGGGAGAAGGAGGGAGAGGAAGGAGGGGGGGGGGGTGGTGGGCAGGTGTGCATGAGAACAGGAAGGAGCACAGGCAGTGGCGGCAGCAGCGGTTGACTTTTGAGTCGACTCAAAAGTCAACAGGAAGGAGCACAGGCAGTGGCGGCAGCAGCGGTTGACTTTTGAGTCGACTCAAAAGTCAACAGGAAGGAGCACAGGCAGTGGCGGCAGCAGCGGTTGACTTTTGAGTCGACTCAAAAGTCAGCAGGAAGGAGCACAGGCAGTGGCGGCAGCAGCAGTTGACTTCTGAGTCGACTCAAAAGTCAACAGGAAGGAGCACAGGCAGTGGCGGCAGCAGCGGTTGACTTTTGAGTCGACTCAAAAGTCAACAGGAAGGAGAACAGGCAGTGGCGGCAGCAGCGGTTGACTTTTGAGTCGACTCAAAAGTCAACAGGAAGGAGCACAGGCAGTGGCGGCAGCAGCGGTTGACTTTTGAGTCGACTCAAAAGTCAACAGGAAGGAGCACAGGCAGTGGCGGCAGCAGCGGTTGATTGAATCTCCGACTGCTGTTTCTGCTCCAAGGTTTTTTAGCACAACTCACCTTGGTGATGTTACTTTGGTGGATTCTCATAAGTAACATCACCATGGCCGCAGCAGCGACCGAATCTCCTACTGCTCTTTCTGCTCGAAGATTTATTGAGAACTCACCTTGTTGAGAGCCAGTGCCTCCCCATGCGCGATTCTCCTGTCGTCCCCCACACCTGCCGCCGCCAGAGCAGCAGCCAGAGCAGCAGCCAGAGCAGCTGCCAGAGCAGCTGCCAATGCAGCAGCCACCTCCCTCTCCATCTCCGACTGGGGTCTGAACTTGACCAGCCTGTCCGTTGACTTGAGCGTGGGGAGGGAGGGAGAGGAGGGCGAAGAGAGAGGAAGAACCTACCCTAGCCCACCCCAGCCACACAGAACAGAGGGACACACCTTGTTGAGAGCCAAGGCCTCCCCATGCGCTATCTTCCGGTCATCCCCCACCCCTGCAGCTGCCAGAGCAGCTGCCACCTCCCTCTCCATCTCTGACTGGCTGGGGTCGGAACTTGTTGACTAGCCTGTCCGTTGACTTGAGGGTGGGAAAGGCGGGCAGGGCGAGGAAAGAGAGAGGAGGCACCTACACTAGACCACCCACATCACACCCACCTTGTTGAGGGCCAATGCCTCCCCGTGGGCGATCTTCCTGTCGTCCCCCACGCCTGCAGCGGCCAATGCAGCAGCCACCTCCCTCTCCATGTCCGACTGAGGTCTGAACTTGTTGACCAGCCTGTCCGTTGACTTGAGGGTGGGCAGCGATGGCATCTCGTCGATCAGGTTGAGGGAGGGCGCTTGGCGGTTCTGCTGCACCAGGGGAAGCCACTTGGCCGCTTCTTTTGAGGAGGCCTCGTAGGCCGCCCTGGGAGGGGAGGGAGAGGGGAGGAGGGAGGGGAGAAAAGAGAGAGAGTCAGTGTGAGAGTGGGCAGCGACGGCATCTCGTCGATCAGGTTGAGGGAGGGCGCCTGGCGGTTCTGCTGCACCAGGGGAAGCCACTTGGCCGCTTCCTTGGAGGAGGCCTCGTAGGCCGCTCTGGAGGAAGGGGAGGAGGGAGGGGAAGAGGGATAAGGGAGAGGAGAAGGGGGGAGAAGGGATGAGTATAACCCTGGCCCCAACCCCCGCCCCAATCCCATTCCCAGCCCCAACCCCCGGCCCAGCCCCCAACCCCACCCCAACCCTGGCCCCGACCCCTGCACCAAATCACTCACTTTCTTTCCAGCCTCTCCCGCACCACAGTGGGCAGAGGGCCTGTGTCAGGAGCACCACTCGCCTCAATTCACCTCATTTGCTGCTTCAGCCCTGTTACCCTCTGTTCTCTCTTCACGCAACCCCAAATCACTCACTTCCTTTCCAGTCTCTCTCGAACCACAGTGGGCAGAGGGCCAGTGTCAGGAGCGCCACTCGCCTCGATCCGCCTCATCTGCTTCACCACTCACCCATCTCTATCCCCTACACTGTACCCAAGACAAAAACCCAAGCCACTCACTTTCTTTCCAGTCTCTCCCGAACCACAGTGGGCAGAGGGCCCGTGTCAGGAGCGCCACTCGCCTCAATCCGCCTCATCTGCTTCTTCAGCCCAGCCAGCGCCGAACCTCCCACTCCCAAACCTGCCGCCGCCGAGCCTTCCGCCGAGCCTTTCGCCAAGCCTGACAGATCAGCCCCGACCTGCCCCAGCGGCCGAAGCAAATCCTCCACAGATAACCCTCCCGAAGCAGCTGCCGAACCTGCTGTAGTGGTTGGGAAATCAACAGCCCCTCCTGCCGCGGCTGCTGCTGCTGCGTCTGCTGCTGCTGCCAGCGCTGCGCCCTTGGCTGCAGTGAGGTTGAACTCTGACTCAGGTAGGCTCTCCCCCACCACTGCTGATGCTTTCAATGCTATTGCACCCCGGGGCTTCCTAGCTGTGAAGACAAGGGGAAAAAAGGGAGGGGAAAGAGGGACGACAAGGGCAAGACAGGGAGCATAGAGGGGTGAGGCAGGGATCGGCTTGCGGCCTTGGCTGCTGTGTGGTTGAACTCTGACTCGGGTAGACTCTCCCCCACCACTGCTGATGCCTTGAGTGCTATTGCACCGCGAGGCTTTCTAGCTGTAAAGACAAGGGAAGATGAGGTAGAAGGATAGACGGGGGGAAGGAGAGACGACAAGGGCAAGACAGTGAGCAGAGAGTTGCGAGACAGTGACTGGTTGCACCCTTTGCTGCTGAGAGGTTGATTGAACTCCATTTTGTTTGAGTTTGAGAATTCTCAAAATCAACCTCAAACAAAGAGGTTGAACTCCTCCTACTCGGGTAGCCCCTCTGCCACCACCACTGCTGCTGATTCCTTGATCTCTGATTCCTTGAACTCTGATTCCTTCCTTGAGTGAGTGCCATGCCATGCTCCCAAGGCTCCTGGTCTTGTGACATTCTCAGCGAGCAGCAAACCTACTTAGGCTTAAAGCAAAGGAAAGACAGTAAAAACCCTCCTGTAAAAACTTAGATCTCTGATTCCTTCCTTGAGTGCCATGCCATGCGTCCAAGGCTCCATCCCGATCCACACAACCCCCATTCTCTCCATTCCCTCCGCACGCACCTTGTGTGTCGCTCCGGGCTCCACTGTTACGACCCTATTTTTAAACCCTACACCTGAGCGCCGATCTCTCCTGCCCTCACCTTCCCTTCCCTGGCTTGACTTGACTTGGCTTGGCTTGACTCGACCTGCTGACAATGCTTCTGCCTTACTTCGTCCTTGCACGAACCTTGTGTTCCGCTCCAGGCTCCACTATTACGACTCTGTTCAAAACCCTAAACCCTAAACCTGAGACCCTGTTCTTCCCTTCCACCCTAAACCCTACTCCCTAACCTCCCCTTCCTCTTGCCTCACCTTCCCTGCCTTGCTGCTGCCTTGCCACCACAACCGCCAGCAGCTGCTGATGCTTCTGCCTTGCATGCTATTGACTCACCTTCCCACTCTGTCTGACTTGACTTGACTTGACTTGACTCACCTTCCCTGCTTTGCTGCCTCGCCACCACATCAGCCAGCAGCTGCTGATGCTTCTCCTCGTCCTCGTCGTCATCTTCCTCCTCCTCACTCTCCCCCTCTCCCTCCTCTCCTTCCTCTTCTTCCCTTTCCTCACCCTCCTCCTCCTCACTCTCCCCTTCCTCGTCCTTCTGTTTTCCGTGACCCCTCATTTTTCCTAACTCCTTCTTCCCCTTTCCCCAATCTCCCTCCTCCCTATCCTCCTCATCCTCCTCCTCTTCTTCCTCCTCCTCATCATCACTATCTAACATACCCCCTCCCTCTTCCTCCTCCTCATCCTCCTCCTCTTCCTCTCCCTCCCCCCCCGCCCCTCGTCCCATCCCCATCTTCTTCTCCTCTTCGGTAAAAGCCTCGTCCTCGTCGATTTCCTCGTCCTGATATGACAGGAGGAAGGAATGGGGAGAAGAAAGAGAAGAAGGAAGGGGAGCGAAGAGTGCGAGTGGAGAATTACCCCTTGCCCTATCCCCATCTGCTTCTCTTCGGTAAAGCCTCGTCCTGATGGGAAAGGAAGGCGATAAAGAGAGCTGGAAGGAAAGGGGAAAGGGAACTGTTGGGTAAGTACCCCCTTCTATCCCTTTTGCCCCATTCCTACCTTCGCTTCCTCTTCAGTGCAGGACTCGTACCAATCTTTGCAGCCCCATAATTTCAGCGAAATTACTGCGAAACTA